ATCAGAGACACTCCAATTCCTTAGGAAATCCCAAGGGTTTAGAGATCACCTCCCATGAACTGGGGACAAAGGCCAGCCAGAGTCTGAGATGCAGCTGGAGGGGCAGCCTGGTGAGGTGGATGGAAGGCTACCTCCACAGCTCACCTAGGGGATACGAAAGGAGTTGTTAAATAATCTATCTTACAACATTCCTTAGTGGATATCAGAATGAGGTAACATTCTGCTCCCACTCACAAATGGGGAAGGCAGAGGGAGTGGAAATGTGCTGGGGGAGAAGCCCCTTCAGCCCCAAAGCCTGCTCAACACCAGCTAGACACTGTGAGGCCTCAGGCTCCTGGTCCTGCTGTGTATCCGGGTTGGACTGAGCATCAGTGTGATTCCTAACCCTTCTTCCTGTGTCTGCAGGTCTACAAAGATCTATACACCTGGTCGAAAAGAGCAAGGGGAGCCCATGACTCCTCGCCGCACGCCAGCCCGCTTTGGGCTATGAGCTGAGGCTGTACCTGAAGAGGATGGGAGCCAAGTATCGAGCGGCGGGAGCACCCCTGGCCTGCTGACAAAACCCTTTCATCTCTGTGCTTTCACCTGTGTACATCATGGCCCCTGGGGAAGGAAGCTCCTGCTGGGGGCGGGGCTCTGCCAGGGAGGAAGCAGGAGTTCCTCGGCGCAGGCTCGGCTGCAGAGCAGCTGAGAAGCTGCGAGAGGTGGCCGGACTCATCGTATCCAAATAAACTGTCCCCAGGACGCTTGCTGTATAAATGACTTGGCCATTGACTATGTTTTTTAACATTCTTGTGTAAAGCAGCAAAACATACCTAGAGGGAATTGTAATTTGGTTATAATTCAGGATTTGGAAATAAATTTATTATTTGTAAAATGTTACTGCATTTCTGACTGTTCTTTTTCCTTCGCTCCCCTAAGTCACATAATAAAGAGAAGATGGGCAGGACCCCAGCCCGACTTGACTTAGCTGGATCCTGCTAGAACCCTAGTTCATCTTGTTTCTGTGTTCCAGGTAGTGCGTCTTAGAGGAGGGGTTGGCAGAGTGGGACACAGCTGACAGGGAAAGAGAATGGCCCACGCCCCCAGCACCCAGCTCTGTGTGGCAAGCTGTCCCTAAGGCTGGCAGGTGACCGGGGAGGGAGGGAGGCAAGCAGCGTGTATCCCCTGCCCCTCTGCAGGGATGGGTTGGCTGCTCTGTTGCTCAGAAAGGCAAGTTTCCACTCTGCGTGTGTAAGGTTTGTGTATCAATGGGAAATAGTGTAAAATGTTGCTTATCGATTTTTGTATAAAAGATGACCCTTAAGCTGGAATCTAGTCTTTTGTTAAGCAGCTTCTTCAGTTGGCTGAGGTAACAGTATTTCATCCTTTGTGTCACTCATGGTCCTTATTTTGTGATTCCCTAGGGTTGGGCTTCTGCCAGGTGTGCTGGTTTCAAGGTTCGGTGTTGAGGCTGTGTCACCTACCGGCTTGGGGCTAAGAAGCACCAGCCAGCGCTCGGCAAGAGCCCTTTGGAGCTTGGCTCACACTGCTGACAGCTCCTCACACTCCCTTCCTCACTCTCTTCCTGGGATTTGAAGTTCCATCTAATATAACTCATATAAAATAAGTTAAACTTTAAGTCAGTTTTATGGATGAGTTTGGAAGCCAGGCTTACCAGCCAGCACCAGCTACACCTCTACTTCCATTCTTTTTACCTCTAACCGCCTTTATTGGAAATGCAGGTGGAAACTGACTTCTCACGGCTCTGGAGTGAAGAGAGGGCTTCTGGCTGCTTGCCTGGGAAGGCTTCTGTCTTGGCCCTGGGTTGAAGGGCTAGCAGATGTTGTCTACCTGCTCTGTGAAGAGAAGTAAGCTGGGTACGTAATGTATTTATTGACTTGGACTCGGGATGTAAGAGAAGAGGAAAAAAGATTGAGGTTCCAATTTATGGCTTTATTATTAACAGACTGTGACTGATCACACACTCACCTTCAGGTCCTTTAGATGCCAGAGAGTTTATGACAACCATGGGTCCAATTCCACCTTCTCGTTTAAAAACAAGAACACCTGGCGAGGGACACTTGGCACACATGGGTGCCACAGAAGAGTGGGAAGGCTCCTCTTCCCCAGAGGCTCTACCTGAATCTGTTTTGGTTTTGGGACTTCTGCCTTAAGAGGCTGCCCCTCTGTCTCCAGTGTTTTCTCTTTAATTGGCAGACCATTTCCATTCAGATCCAACCGTAAGTTCAATACTCTGATTCTTAACCATCACTTCCTCAGAGGATAACCCACACTTTTTCTAGAAGTACAAAAACATTTCTGTGACAACCGCCCTAAAGTGGATTCCTGGGACAATTTCAGACTTTGGGGTGTGAGGGAACAGCGAGGCCACTGAACTGCACCTCTTCACAGGCTCCCCTGCCTTGGACTCAGTCACGGGCATCTCTCCTTTCATGCCTAGTTGGCGGTAAACGGGAACTTTAGACACAATGGGAATGTCAATAGTTGAGGGTCTCAGGCTGAGACAGGAGACTCATTCTGGGGACCCCAGGCTTGCTTGCCAGGCCCTGACTGTGGCAGGGAGCTCCCTCTTCCCCTTGGTAAGGAGGCAGGCCTGAGGGGACTGGTGTTTGCTCTGGGTTCCCTTAGTTCAGGGGCAGAAGAATTACACTCTGGGTGGGTAGAAGAGGATCTGTTACACAGGATTCTACTGGCCCCAGGTATCAGAATCTAAGGGACATTCTCCCATTGGGTGGCTGAGGCCCTTATTTATAACCCCCTTGGCTAAGTCCTAGCTTTGTAGTCATTTTTTCTTTTTCGTTATTTTTTAGAGCAGTTTTAGTTACATAGCAAAATTAAGCAGGAGGTACAGAGATTTCCCATGTACTCCTGACCCTGCACATACACAACCTCTCCCATTATCAGTGTCCCCCACCAGAATGGTACATTTGTCACCACAGGTGAACCTATATGGTGTTATCCTCCAAAGCCTACAGTTTACATGAGGAGTCACTCTTGGTGTTGCATATCCTGTGGGTTTGGACAAACATGTAATGACATGTCCATCATTAAGTATCATACAGAGGCAGGCCATTTAAAAAAATAATCAGCTGTTCAAACTACTTTGTTAGGAACTAACTCTGGTTATTTCTTAAAGAATTATAGGCAGGCAGCGCTCAGCTTTCCTGCCCTTCATCCTGTCTTTAGAGAAACTGCATTTCCCTAAGTCTCACCACTCTACTTCATCAGGCTTCCTGTGTGAAGGCCAGACGGCTGGGGACAGGCTGATGTTCCTCTGGCACTGCTGCCCCTTTGTTCCCCTAACTTGCTACCTGCTTGGCTGTGGTGTGATCACTACAGGAAGTGAAAGCCAGCTTTGAAAAAATGTACATCATGCAAAGTATCCAGGTATTGGGATTTTCACCAACATATAGCAGATGAAATCTTTTTGTAAATTATAGACAAAGTGCCTTCTTTTTAGACTGTACTGAGGATTTTAATGACATTGAACTTTTGTTTAAATAAATGGTCCACAGACTGGAACTAGAAAGCTATTATTAGTACCAGATACTCCAGTCTTTGTTTTCTCTTGAAAATATATCCTTATTCTAAGTGAAATGGGGGAAGACAGTTAAAAGGGCATAAACAAACAGACAACACCCATTACAACAGAAACTACCAGATGTGACCATCACCCCCGCCTCACACTGCACTTCTGGAATTTGCCTTTTCTGAGTTCTGGCAGGGGCATCCTATGTTGCTATAAGCAGTGACTTTTTTTGGCTTTTGTTTGGCTGGGGAGGGAGGCACGAATATTTAAGAATTGCTACCAACTAGTGGGTTTCTTCTTTGGCTTTTCCTTTTCTTCCACCCAGAAATGCAAGCTCTTTCATTTGTTTCTCTTATTTTACTTTAGTAGCTATTTCTCTCAATTTCCTATGGACTAGAAATAGAAATTCTAGACATGTACACAGTTTAACAAAATCCTGCCACAATAAAATAGTTTAGCTGTCCTTGGAGTTTGTTATAATGGAATTTTACTTGTACTGAGCTGGCTGGGGAGAAAAATAAAATTGTTAAAAGGAAGAATAAAACGTGGTGGCCAGGGAGAAAGCAGATGGCTGTCCCTCCCTCCTCCGTTTGGAAAAATGCATCACTTATTTGGGCCTCAGGATTACTTTCCTTTTTGAGTTTTTTAGACATTTTTCTTCTTAAATTCCAGACAGAGAGGGAAAGAATAAAAAAGGAGCTAATTATTTCTTCTTGGTTTATAAACTAATCCAGAGGCTCACTGGGAATTACAGCTTCCTATACATGTGAAAGAGAACTGTATCTCTGAATCCAGAGAAAGTGGGGATGAAAATGCCACTGGGGGCTGGGAGGGGCAGGGGGCCCTGCGGGGCGCCAGGGGCTCACAGAGACCGCTGTGCTTGTGCCCTTGTTCTAGAGTTTGGGCCTGGAGATGGTCCTGTGGTTCCAAGGCTCGCTCCACTGCAGGAAGCAGACAAAACTCAATAAAATATTAGCATTTTGCAAAATAGTCTAGGACCTTGACATGTTCCCACAAGAGCTGATCCAGGTCAAGAGAGACGGATGGGAACTGACTGTTCTCTGACAAACCCTTGCGGAAATGATGCTTGGGGCAAGGTGCTGAGTCTAGCAATAGGAGGAACCTGAGGGAACAGGCTGGAAATGACAAGTCTTGATTTGAGGAGAAATTAATGAGGTGATTTCTCAAGGACTGGCCTGTGGCCAAGCATCTCTGTTGCAGTGTGACTTCCCCCGGGGTAACGTGGAATCTTCATGGCAGAACAGGTAGCTGTGGACCCAGGCCACGCAGGGTACAGGGCGCTCTTTTAGCGTTTCCAGAACATTACAGGAGGAAGATGCCTGTTTTGCCTGTTCCGCTTTTGTCCTTACCATTCCCAAAGGGGACCTGGTCAGGGTAAGGGATAGATCTGAGTTACGATGCATTTGGGTATCTGCCAAGATTCTGACAGCAGGGCAACACTCCTTGTCTACAGACAAGGAAACAATTATCTCTGGTTCTGAGTCATTAAGAAAAAGATCTGTTTTCTCTATCTGAATGCCCAATCCAGTGATCTCTTGAAAAATACTATCAGGCTGTCATTTTTTTGTCCCATGGCGCTAAGACGACATAACATAGTAAGTAGCAAAAGACAAATGGCAGACCTACCTGAACAGTGGGGAATCCTGACAAACTTGGTGACATCCACTCTTTGGCTCATGTCCCGGGTTGTCCCCCTCCAGCCCAAGGTGCCACACACTTTCCCCCTTTGTGTGGGCTCCGTTTTGCTTGGGCCCAGGGCTTTGGTGCATAACCTTGAGTGCCCAGATTTCAGTTTCTTCTCCTCTATCTCGGTCTTCAGCTTCTTGTTTTCCTGTTGCAGATGGACCATTACATTGTGGAGGTGGCTGGGGAAGGAGAGGGAAGAGTCGGTGGGTGTTTGGTATGCTCCGGCTCCTCGGTTCCCCACTGGAAAGGACAGATAAAGGCCCACAGGAAGGAGGGCCATGGACATCTGGTTCCTTCCAGAGCTAGCGCTTCCACATCTGTTCTGTGGAAATGGATGCCCATGCATGTCCCCTGGAAGAGGCCCAGTCCTGGGGTTGGGGTGGACTCCTGACCCACTGAGTCATCTCAGCTCTGGCTCTGTTTTCTCATTTTTAGATGGGGACAACTGAGTTTGACAAATGATAGAAATGTGACTGGAAGAGCTAGAAGGCTGTTACGAACAACTCTGATCACACGTCCTCGGTTTCTCATGGCCATGCCTTGGAAACACTCTCACACGGTTCTGATGTTAAAGTCCAAGTTCTTTCACATCCCTTTGCTGAAAGGTTGAAAGCACAGGGATCTGGCTCTGTTGAGAGCTTGGGCAAGTAACTTATCCCCATTTTACAGATGAGAAAATGGTGGCTGTGAGGTAGGTAAGGGGGGAAGGTAACTCAGCATATCCCCTGTGGCTCCATCAGTGGTGGCTACTCATAGCAACAGTTGCATTTCTCAATGTTGAGGGCAGTGGTGACTGGCTCTGAAACCAGACTTCCCGAGCTGGACTGCTGCTGGCTCTGCCACTTACTAATTGTGAGGCCAAGGGCAGGTTATTTAGTCCCTCAGTTCCTCTCTTTTCTCATCCATCGGTAGAGACTATAATTGCACCTAACTGGTAAGGTCTTAGGAAGATTAAGTAGGTTAATACATGTAAAGCATTTAGAACAGTACCTCACATGTGCACATAAAAAATATTACTGGAGCTATTATTATTATTCAAAGGTGGCTTTCCTTCAAATAGGCTCAAGTCCACTGAAGAATGAAACAGAACTACTTGGAACTTGGCACAATATAAGAAAAAGCCTGACATTCTGTTATGCTCAGATTCTGACCATTTTTCTTTTAGTTAAACCCTTTCGGAAAGTATTTTTGTCCTAGTAAAAACTTTCATGGGTTTTTTTTTCCCCCTAAAGGAAATTAAATGAAGTATTCATCCTCAACTTCTTCTCTGGGCATATGGTTTGCCCTCTTGCTCTCTGTAAACCTGGCTGGAGCCGAAGACACGCCTTCCCGTGTAGACCCTCATGTCATCAACACATTACACATGCCCTGGGCTTGCAGGTGGGGTCCTCACCGCCCCCCCCACCCCCCCGTCCCTGGCTTGCTGCCATGCCCACCGGTTCACTCCTGTCAGCATCCCCAATGGCTTCTCCATTCCTACCTCCTTATCCCAATGATCGTGTCCTCTCTTTCACCTCAGCCACCCCTCTCTAGGTCAAAGCCTGGCACTGAACTTCTCACAGATGGATTCTAGGTGTGCTGAGATACTTTCATCCTTGGTACAGGGCATGGGGCAGCCGCTGATTGGTCAACTTTGCCAAACCAATGCCACCCCAGGCCCTCTCAGTGTGCCAAACAAATGTGGTCATTTTCTAAGTGTTCTCTGACAGAAGATTGGGAAGCACTACCCTAGAGCTTGTCATTACCTATTACTGTACATCTCAGTTTTAGACACCCATATCTTTAACCTCTATTCCCGAACTTCTAGCAGTCCTCTCCTACCACATTCTCTGCTGACCCAGCTTTGACCATGAAAGGGAAGCAAGGCCACAGGGAAGGAACAAGGTCCCCAAATGACCACCTGGGACAGAGGAACCCCATCAACCTGGATCTGTCACCTCCTAGAGATGTTCCTTCTATGTTCCTTCACTTGGAGATCTTTGTTAGAGCAGCTTAGCCCCTACCCTAACTAATACAGCCTGCTTTCAGTGCCTGTGGCCTCTGAGAATCACAGAAAATGACAGTAGGAAGGCACATGGAGACTATTAACATCTTGCATTGTTGTTGAGGGTATTATGGCCCAAAGAGGTAAAGTGATGTGTCCAAATTCACACAGATGCAGATAGGGCCTGGAATTTTTCCAAGGTCCCAGGCCTTCCCTGGGGTCTTTGCATGCATCCAGTGAAAAAGCCAGGCTGGCTCCTGGCTGACCCTTCTCCTTAGGGCCCAAGCAGCAGCCAGGGTGGTGCGGGATGACTTACTCCTTTTCACCAGTCAGCTTGGCGATATATTTGACCTGTTCACGGAGCTTGTTTCCTAATTGCTCATTGGCGATCCTGTAATAAAATGCACAAGAGAAAAGAGTTCCCAGACCACTGTGAGCAAGAGCACGGGCTGGCTAAACAGGACATTGGGTGTTCTCAGTAGGGCTTCTGCTGGGCCCCAAAGCTCGAGCCTCTTGGCACCTGGCAATTAAGAGGACTCTCCATACTCAACTCCTGTGAAAATCCCCTGTGATCCCAGGTGAGTTCCAGGGATCCAGGCAGTGACACCGGACACAAAGCTGGGAGAGCTGCTCCACATCTAAGGCAGCTGGGCTTCCTATCTCATCCCCAACCCACGGGTGTGGACTGGGACTGGACCAGCTTCCCAGAAGGGCTCTGTGTGTGTGTCATACTGTTCTTCGGCACATGTATGGGTCCTCAGTTCAGCCCAGGCCTTGGAACCCTACTTTTTTCTTCCTTACTTACTTCTGCTCTTTTGCCCATTGCTCCATGTTGGTCATAATCTGTTCACTCTCCCGGTGCAGCCTACAGGTGTCTTTGGGCACAGTCCGCTGGGGCAGGCAACAGGACTTTGGCACAAGAAGAAAATGGGACAGTAATGGGAGGGAGCACAGGCCCATCACCTCCCTACTCCCAAGTCAGGCCTCTTCTCTCCTCCTGGGAGGAGAAATGTGGACTCTGCTGTCTGCCCCTGAGGCCGGAGTTGGAATCGCCACGGGAGGACTCCACCTCCAGTGGTGCAGGTTGCACCCACCCAAGGGTGACACCTCTGAGAAGGCACTGTTTATAGTAGAGACAGAGTAGATCTGTATATTTACGGTAAGGATTTTCAGGCCAAAGGCATCAATTGAAGTGGCTTGTTCTAAAAGAGGAATACGGTAAGCCAGTTTTTAATATGGAAGAAAAAAATATCTCGAGGAGGAGATATCTAACTGGAGCAAAGGCCCTGTGGCCACCCCAAGGTATCCTGCGGATCCTGCCATGAATTTCATGGCCCAGGGTGCCAGGCATGGGCGTGCCTGAGCTCCGTTAGCTGACTCTACTGCAGGATAAATAAAAGTGTCAGGCTGGGCTTGGAGGGGAACTGCCCAGTGGATTATCTAAGTCAGGGGTCACTGCTGGGCCCGACAGGAAGCTGTGTGGTTGAAACAGGCACTGTGGGCTTCGAGACCTGGCAGTACAGAACAGAACAAGTGTTCTTTCCTTGCTCCCGGGCACCTCCACCGCAACCAAGGGCAGTCTGGCATCCCGGTGGTTGTGGGATGTGCTGGCAGGGACTGGGAAGGAATGACCAGAAGCTGAGGAGTACCTACCTCCTTATCATCAGCAAGGAGGCTCTCTTTCAGGGTGGCCATTTCCTCCTGGAAGGCCCGGAGCTGCTCCTCTTTAGCGGCCAGCATCTTGAGGTCACTCTGGTGCTGCTTCTGCCACTGCAGCACTTGGCAACTCATCTCCTCCAGCTTCTTGTCGAAGGCGTGTACCTGCTCAGAAGTGCAAAGTGAGGAGGAGACCCCAACTTGCTGTCCTGACCCCAGGGGACCCATGAGGGGGCTAGAGGGACCTTTCTCTGCTCTGGGAGATGCGTTAGGGGGTATTTTATTTCCACTGGCCAGCAGAGGGCACCCGTGCTCTGAGAGTTGCCTCTAGGCCTTAAACTCACAGGGCAAACAAAGGGAGGGAACCCATTAGCCAAAGGGAATGGTTCAGTGCTAAATAGTTCTGGGTGCAAGAGGTGACCTTGGGGCCCTGGGACAGGAAGGCAGCATGAGCCCCAGACTGCTCCTCACCTCTAGCTCACTCTGCTGGTGGAAGCCTTGAAGTTTTTTTAATTCCATGTTGAGTTTTTTCATCCTCTCCTCATAAGCCATAATTTCATCTTCCAGCTGAACTTTCCTATCTTGGGCCTGCGTCAAGTTTCGGTGCAGGCTCTTGGTCTCTGATATTGTATGATTGAGCTTCAGGTAAAGAAAAAGGGGATGAGAGTGGCTGTCAGAGCCCTTTGGCCCTCTCTGTTGAGCTTTGAATGGAGAAGGGTTCCAATCCATCCCTGTCTTCTTCCCAGGGTGGCACAGACACCCTGTCGCTTTCCTAGTGTCCCAGGGAGGATAGGAAGTAACAGTGGTTGGTTTTCTGCATCCCCACGTTCCCTCCCTTATTTCTTCTCTTTTTAGTCCTATGAACTGATCAGCCAGAAATGATCAGCACAGGGATGGGGCATGAATTTCCTTGATAATCCAGGTTTTGTGAAAACCTTCCTCTGGGATCACCCATGGGCAGAAAGATCATTAGATCTGGTCTCCATCTTTGCTCCCCCTAGCCCTCCCCAAAACCCTCACTAAGGAGAAGCAGGCTTTCCATGGACAGACATCCCAGCTCATGCAAGGGTTTGCAGACAGCTTTGGTGACAGCCAGTAGTGTAGGAAACTGACTCCTATGCCTCTCCCACTGCTAGGATATTTCTTTGCCCCCAAACAACCCTGGAGATACAGGGCGTGGCCCACCTTTTCAAGAGCTTGTGTTAGGTCATCTTGGCAGGCAGCCGACTTCCGGGATAATTCCTCATAGGCTTCTTTACTGACCATGGTCTGGAGATAATGCTTCTCTTTCTGCACAGCCTTGTCTAGCTGGGCCTGCAGACTCACTAAGGACTCCTTCTGAAAGGCTACCTTCAGAGAGGGGGAATATCACTGTCAAGGTTCGTAGCTATAGAGGATTCTGAGTGTCTACAGGAAACGGACAAGCACTGCACTCTCTTCCCTATATGTGACAATGCCCCATCTCCATCTCATTGTTGTAAAAGGAAGAGCTGCCTTTTCCAGGCTCTTCTGCTGTCCCCTCCCCACAGTTCCCCTTCTAGTTACATGTCCCCCAAATAAAGGACCAAAATAAAGGACTACTGGAGGTACTAGGTCATGATGTGTCAAGCACATGGAAAGTCCCTTTCACAGACTCTGCAGCCTATGATAAAGATCTGGAATCCAAGTCTAGGATGGGAGATGTGCTACAATGTCTCAGTTGTGTGATATTTATGCCTCACTTTGTTCCTGACATAATCCATTAGATTTGTTCCGCCCTGAAAGTGGGGCTGTGCATGCTTTCTTCATCACTCTGTCTTGCCACTTACAGCTCAGGGTATGGCACATAATAGGCGCTTAGTTTAATAATTGCTTTGGACTGAATGAAATATTGCATTAGGCAATGTTCAGAATCAGAGATGCGTTAAATCCATAGTTCTGGCAGAAGTGTATTTAAAAACTAAAGTCTGTGTCTTAAACTTAGTAATGAATATTCGTGCTAGTTAAAAGGAATGGAGACCTGGGGTTAGCGAATCTGTGTTGAGATCCAGTTTCTGTCATTTACTTAATCTCTTTGAGTCTCAGTTTTTACTGCTGCAAATCAGGATACTTTCAACTGCTTCACAGAGTTTTTGTGATAATCAAATGAGATGTAAAAAAAGACTTTGTGAGTATAAATACTACACAGCTGTGAGTTATGATCATGAAGATGCTAAGTAATCAGCCATTTTATTATATAGCTGAGGTACAGGACAGAGATCTACACCAAAGTCTGGAAGCCGGAGGGAGACCTTAGAAATGCATATGCCTCAATTTTGTTTTTTTTGTATCCTAGTATACCTGCATTCTTCCTGTGGCCACACACACAGAAACATACTCTTTTGGGTTTTCTTCAGTAACTGCTTAGTGCCTGAAGTTTATTATTTTTTCAAATGGGATTTTGAGTATCTTTGACCTTAGGAATTAGTATATTTCTGCCTGCATATTTACATGTCTGGAGTGGGGGTAAAACTAATCCTAAAGATGGAATAATTTGGTCTTCTGGAAATAAAAGTACACTGTTTCTAGAAACTTCTGAAAAATGTCAACTGGGTCTGCAGAGAAAACCAGGGGAGTCACAGGAAAAATCATAATTCATTGTAAGCTCTTGATAGTTGGTGGCTGAATCGAGAAATGTTATCATAGAAGTGAGATACTAAAAGGTGGTAAAAAAAATCACAATGATGCTAGAAGCTAAAATGGAAGGTTTATCTTAAATTTCTCTAACATGAGTGGTTTATCTTAGGAAAAGATATATATATATATATACACATATATATGTGTATATATATATATGTATATATATATACACGTATATATATATATGTATATATATATACACACAGAATCAAGGAGTTTTAATAAAAGTTCTCATAAAGATTTATGGTTTTATAGGTAAGTTCCACTAAGTCATCCTTGATTCCTTACTTGCTCTCACATTCATCCTGTCAGTTAGTCTGATCAACTCTGCTGCCAAAACACATTCTGAATTTGCTATCTTCTGTCTTCACTGACACCACTCTAGCTTAGATAACAATGGCCCCCCAACTGGTTTCCTCACTTCCATGCCCATTCCTTCCCCTATCCCCAATCCAGTTCCGCACATCAGTCAAAACTGTATTTTGAAAACTTAAGTCAGATCAAATCACCTCCTCTGCTCCTCGAGGAGATTTCATCAATATCTATCAATTTTTCTTAGAATAAAACACAAAATTTCTTAACAGAGTTCACAATGTCTGCCCCTACTTATTTCTCTACTCTCATCCTATATCAAGACACTTCTTGATTACTACATTGTAGTCATATTGGCCTTACTTCACTTAGAATGTTCCAAAGAGTGACTGAAAGAGTGGTACATGATACACAGCGAGCATTTATGCTTGGACTGCAAGGGTGGGCCAAAATTAGGATCAATTAATTTTACTCGCCACATTACAGGGAATATCGTACTGAAACGTGAATTCCATTAATATTAAAAGCAAGAAAAGGATGCCACTGTTGAACACTACACTGTAGGGACTGTCTAATGCAATAAGGCAAGAAAAATAATATATTACAAAGGTTTAGAAAATTGTTGCTTGCAAATGATCTAATCATAACCTAGAAAATCCATGACAAGCAACTAAAAAACTATTACTGCTTATAAGTAGATTTAGCAAAATGTACAAATACAGAATAAATATATATACAAATAAATTAACTTTCTTATTATTAACATTAATTAATTATAAAGTATGGTAGAAAATGTCCTAGGATCAAAGAGATGAAAAGAATCTCCATATATAGTGCATTGACTTCAGATGGGAAATTTTAAAATTCAGATATGGAATATTGATGAAAGAAAAATGTATTTTAGAATGCAAAACTAAGCCTCTTTTTAATGGCTATTTCAATTGATTCACAATTGGGTCATGCTTTTAAAAAGTGGGACATGCTTATACACACAAAAAAACCTCTAGCCTCCTGATTCCCATCAAAGGAATTCTGGATTTAGTGCTTTTACTTCCACATTTACACAACTGTCTTTTGGCAAATATAATGACAGACCCTTATTAAATACTTAAGTAGTACCCCTTTTTTACAGAGGTTCCTTGGGGATCTGAGTGACTTAGAACTCAACTCTGGATCACAGCAAAGGAGAGCTTTATATGTCTGGAGGAAAAAACTCCAGAAACATGAGTTTCTATGCTGTCTAATATGGTAGACTCTAGGCACATGAGGCTATTTACATTTAAATAAAACTAAAATTAGTTAATATTAAAATTATAAATTTATTTCCTTAGTCATACTAAGCCATATTGCAAGCACTCAACAGCCACACAGAGCTTGTGGATAGAGTATTAGATAGCTGTAATTTAGAATTTTCCATCATTGCAGAAAGTTCTATAGGGCAGTGCTATTCTTATACTTAGAATAGTCACAGCATTTTAAGACTTTTTTCTTTTTTATATTATGAAGGAATCAGAGCTGCTGGTTTCTCACTTGTAACCCAAGAGACCACCTAATAAGATCTCTATTTGTTTCTCGCCCAGAAAGATGGAATGTATTCACATGGGGAAAGCACTGGCATTCATACTGAAGGGGGAAGAGATTTGATGTTTGGCTCAGATGGTCCAGCTTCAAATACTGGTCCATCCCATCCTAACTAATTAGTCACTTTAAGCCTCAGCTTTTCTTTTTCTGTAAACTGAGGATCATAGTAATGTATGTCTTTTTGGAGTAAAGCAGATGCAAGGCATATAAAGGACGTAAGTAGACAGTCAATAAATGATGACTGAACTCAAGCACAGTGCCTCATGTATGTTAGATGCATTTACTCCTTTCTGTCATTTTTATTGTGTAATGAAAAATGACCATCTCTCCCTCTACCCCGTTTTTGTGCTTTGGTATTACTTTTGGAAGTGTTCCCTAGCAAATTGCCCTAAACAATGGATTCACTCAACTCTGGTCTCAAATGCGACATTGGAGGACTTGATGCCAAAGTACAGATAGTCTGGGAGCTCCACCAGATGTTTTTAAATAAGACTTTCCACATGTGGAAGAAACATTTCTTTGGTTGAGCAACTAGTTACTGAAGGCGTTCCCCACTTCAAGGAGGGAAGCAGAGCTGCAGGTACCACAGGATGCACATGGGCCCAGCATTTCTGTGGTGGGGGAAGAGCTAGGAGCCAATTTTAGTCAAGGGACACAGGATTCAAGTTTCTCACCCCCTCAGGGTTTCTGTCTACTCACCTCACTAGTCAGCTCTTGGATGACTTTCTGGGAGGTGGTGTTTTTGCTGAGAGAGGACTCCAGTTGTGTAGAACATTGCTTAAACTGTATCTTGAGATTCTCATTTTCTTCCTCCAACTTTCGTAAAGTCTCTTTTGACTGTTCCCCAATTATAGAACAAAGCCCAGAAAAGAGGTGTTACTCTCAGACTCCTATATAACCCCACTCCTCCCTCCCTCCCCCACAGCTCCATTCTGCACCCTGTTGTATCTTGGGCCTTCTCTTTCCTCCCTGCTTGACTTTCCCACCTTCCCTCCCTCCGCTCCTGAGATCTGAGCACACACAGACTCTGTATCCCACCAGGTCTGCCTGGGCTCACGTCTGGCCCTGTATTTATGACTCCCACTCTTCCATGATTCTCCTTCTCACCATCTTTTCTTTCTTTTTTTCTTCTTGTCGCAATGACTCAATCTCTACCTCCAGCAGCTTCTCCTGTTCTTTGCTCTTTTTCAACTGTTCCCGTTTTTCCTCTAGCAACCTTGTTACTTCCTTAAGCTCCTCTTCTAGAGTGCTTTTGGTGGAGGCTAGCTCCCTGTGCTGAGAACATAAGACTGAACTGAAAGATCTTCTTGGACTGCATATTTTTGGGAAAACAAACAAACTTAACAATTGTACCTGGGGGAGAGCTCAAATAAATATGAGGGCAACTCCTTGGTTATTTAGCATGTATGATAAAAAAATTTCCCTCTGATGTTCAGCAACACTTTTAATTTGTTAATTTAGATATATCAATTTATTTTATTTATAGATCCAGTTCCAACATCATCAACCTTCTTTCTCACTTAACAGATCTTTCCACATAAAACCTTTTTGAATAAAGTGAAAAAATATGAGAAAAACATAAAAAGAATAATTTAGAGATCAAAGGCTTTAAATTAATTGACAAGGATAGTTTTGAATCCCAGGAAAAAACCCTCATTGTCCTTTGACTACTTTTAAGCTTAGCACTTGAAAATGCTTTTTATTGGTCATAGGAACTGGAGCTGACCAGCTGGCTTTGCATCCTAACATAATTCTGGACAATCTGTTCACCATGGATTGGCCGTGGCATCTTCCCAAGTAAAGACAAATTTATTTAATGTTAAGCAGAGCAAATGCTTGAGCTGGCTGCCTATTTGCCCTTCATACCTGGTGCTGAATGAGTTTTATACGATCTAGTAGTTCATTCAGTTTCATATCCTGCTCAGTCACTGTCTTCTGAAGCTGCTTCTTTTCCCTGTCTGAGTTTTCAAGCTTCCTCAGGGCCTCAGAGAGTTCCGACGTCAGCTCCTCTATCCGTTTCCTAAAGCAAAACGGCAACAATAGGAGGATGGACTTTGGTGTCTGCGTTGGTGGTCTGTGAGCTGGCTGCATGGGGTTTGCTATCCGTCCTGAGACTGGCTCACTAGAGACAGGGCCTCTCTCTGAAGGTGAACCTGTGGTACCTGTGGGGCGTAAGTTCCCCTTCAGCCAACAAGGAATCCTTTTGCAGCTTCTGAAGTTCTCTCTGCAGCTCCTGGATGGTGTCTGCCTTCTGCTTCTCCAAGAGAATGCAGCTTTGCAGCTTCCTCTGGGAATCCTCCAGGTTATTCTTTGCCATAACGGCCTCTTCTTTGTATTGAGCTGCTTGCTGAGCTGCCAAAGACAGGAGACAAGCTAGGGGCATATCCATGTGAGAAGAGAGTATGTGTGAAGATCAGATTCTCAAATCAGGCCAGTTAAAATGTCTGTTCAATTTCTAATCTGTCCTCATTTCTTTCCATTTCATTATCACTCCTAAGGAGCTCGGTTAAATTATCTGCCATCATTATCTCCAGCTGTGGTCTCCTTCTCAACTAAAATTAAATAAATTGATAGAAACTGCTCGGTATCTCCTATGCAACTCATCCAGTCATTAGGGACACATCCTGACCTTCATGGAGTTTAGAGTCTAGTGAGGGAGCCATACTGGCCCCTTGATAAAGAGACCACAGTGATGATAAACTTGCAATGACGTTGAACTCAGGAAGCAAGATCAATGTAAGAACAGTTGGGGATGGACTCGCAGAGGAAAAGAGGCTGAGCTGTGCCTTACGAGAAGGGAATTCCAGGTGGGGAGATTGTTAGAGTAAATGCTTCGTGAAGGGAATACCGAAGGCATGTGAGAAGAGGATGGGGAGAGACGGGTTTAATTGGAAAGGAATCTGGACAGGAGTTCTGGGAGACAGAGCTGAGTAAGTGCATGGACTAGAGGAGGCTTTGAAGGACTATGAAAGCCCGAGAGAAAGAACTGGAGCTGATTTCGTGGGCTCTTGAGCAGGGAGCTGACATAAAGGGAAGAGTGCTTTGGGAACATTGGAAAGAATTAGAATGGAGAAAGAATTCCTACAATATCATTTAGCCCACATCCTTCCCTTCATTGCATATGAAGGGAAAAACACCCAAATGAGTTGCTTACTGGAGTTTCTCTAAGCCAACTGTATCCCCACATCCAGTAGTTTCTACTATCGTTTCTACTTTAAACATTGCTCTTCTGTCTGTTTTTTCAGCCTGGGATACTGGAAGAAAGGTGGTGTCACTATGGAAATAATTATAGACCTTGTAAGGAGGGAGAAAAAACAATTTTAATGCAGGGAAGAGAACAGGTTCAGTTTTGGGGATGCTGAGTTAGGGGGGAAGGCGGGCCACCCCGGTGGAGCTAGTCTCTGAAGTCAAGGCTGGCCACAGGTGCGAAATCAGGACCAAGGCTCTAGGTTTGGAGTCATCTGCAGGGAAGCGCAGCTCCCCGGAGGGGAGGTGCTCACTAAAGAATGAGTGTAGAGGGAGACGAGAAGAGGAGGAGGGCAGAGTCTTAGGGATGAATGAGTCTGTCAGAGCAGGAGGGAAACAATGATGATATTTCTGGGATCTGTTGTGTCTCCAAAGCTAAGAAACACTTGTTGAGGCATTGGGGGCTGACGGCATAGATACACAGAGTCCGAGGATGGTAAGGAAGGAAGCCGGACTGTGGGCCTTTTACTTTTTCCCTACATTTCTGTATCACGAAACATAAAGAGAAAGAACAAATGCTACATGAACTAGAGAAGGAACTGACACAGGTTCAGACAACGCTCCCGAAGAGAGATGGAGATGGAGAAGCAGCAACTAATGACAACAGAACTTTATAAAGTGTACAGTTCAGTGGCTTTTGGCATACTCACAAAAGTGAGCAATCATCACCAATATCTAATTCCAGAACACTTCCATTGCCCCACGTCCAGGGCAAGAAGTTACTGGTGACCTCCGAGAAAGCAGTGTTAGCAGGGGAACCAGGACACGATCCCTAGTGCAAGCTGTGCAGAAGAGGATTTTTGGAGGGAATACAAAAGGAGAGAGTGTCAAAAACCAGGAAGGAAGAGATAAAATGTGTGACAAGGGTTCTGGAGAAGATGGAGAGGAATGTGGTGCAAAGAAGCTAAGTACAGAGCCATGGTCTCTATCTGAACTGCTGAGGGAACAGTGGGCAGTCACTTTCCCAACCTGAGCACGTGCTATGTGGTGAAGGTTCCAGAGAGAAGGTGAGGTGGAGGGTGAGTGAAGGAGTTCAAGAGGGCAGTCGTAACTGCTGAGATGTGGGATGAGGTCAAGGGAAGATTTGAAGTAAGAAAGTAGGGATGCAGAGGAGGGTGGCCGTTCACAGAGAGAAAAGGGCTGCTCTAGGCCCATGTGCTGGACGTGTGGTGGGGACAGTGCTTGCTGGGGCCTCACCAGCCAGCCTCTGCTGCTGTTGGGCATCTTCGAGACAGTCCTTCAGCTTTTCCATCTCAGCTCTCAGGGCCCCACACTCCACCTTGCACTTATCCTGCTTTGCCTCCTGGATGGCGATTTCGAGTTCTGTTGTCATTAGTTGCTGCTTCTCCAACTCCATCTCTTTTTTCAGGAGGGTAGTCTGAACCTGTGTCAGCTCTTTCTCTAGCTCGTGCAGCATTTCATCTTTCTCTTGGAGGAGCTGAGGAAAGCAAAGTGTTAATGCTTATAAAGGCCTGGAGAGAGGCCGGTCAGTTAGACGTTGTTCCAAGCTCTCTTATAGCCACCGTCTTCTCTTGCCTGCATATAATAGCCTCCTACCTTAGCTCCTGCTTCCCCTCAGCCTGTTCTCACTGCAGCAGCCAGAGGGGGCCCTCTACAATTGCAAGACATCTTATATACCTCTGCTCAAACCCCCCCCCTGGCTCCATCTCACTTAGTAGAAAAAGGCCTCCCAGGATGCTTATGATCTCGTCCTTGGCCACCTCCCACTCTCTCTGCTTCAGCCGGTCTTCTGGAACACTCCATGGGGGCTCCCACTAAATAACTTTTGCTCTTGCTATTCTCTCTGCCTGGGATATTCTTCCTCAAGGCCTTTGCCTGGGTGGCTTCCACACTTCAAATCTCTTCCCAAATGTCACCTTGCCAAAGAGGACTTCCCTGACCAACCTGTATAAAACAGCCACCAAGCTATTTTAGGACTCTATCAGTATCTGATATTATATGATATATTAATTTTGTTATTTATTATCTGTCTCTCCACGCTAGAATATAAACTCCATGAGAGTACGAATGTTGCATGTTTTATTAAATTCTTTTTTAAAATGTTTTTTTAAAAATTAAACTTATTGGGCTGACATTGGTTAATAAAATTTCATAGGTTTCAGGTATAAAATTCTATAATATTTGTAGTGCCTAGAACAGTGCTTGGCATATCTTAGGAGCTCAAAAATATTTGTTGGGTGATTATATGAATGACTCAAAGCTGTTTATCCGGAGTCCTTGCTTCGTGCTGACATCTCTCCAACTGCTTCTATTTTGACTGACAAACCACCTCTGTACCTTGAAATAGGAGGTGGGAATGACCAGTCAGTCAACCAATTGGATTACTCGTGCTAGCTTTGCTCTGATAAAAAATTTAGAGTTGGATAGTAGTGACTACAAAAGCTTGCATTAGTGTCACAACCTTTCTGTCCTTGGTTTCATTCCTAGACTTTTCCAGGACCTTGATTTATGTTGGCAACAACAGATCTTCTAGAACATAGCTCCATTAATATTTTCAAACTGCCTGATCTGCATATTCTAAGGTATTTGTAACTTTTAAAATTAAAATTCACTTCATATTCTTAATAAGGCTACACATTATTTTATAGTATCTTTCCACTATCAAGCATGAACAAAAGCATATGGGAACAACACAAGTGTGTCCCAAACTCTCTACCTTGCAGGGCTGGGGGAAAAACCCTCTTTCTTCTAGAGTCAACATATCCATTAAAGTCCCTGGATAGTGCTATTTTATTTATTTATTATGTTCTGTGAGAACTACCAAAGAGGTAAATACTCAGAATCGTCTGTGGGCCTGAAGAGCCCACAGTCCCGTTGCACACGTGTTGACACTCTCCAAGCCATCACAGTGGGTGCAGAACTGCCGAACCTGCTCCCTCTGGCCAAGGCCGGGCCTCACACCTGCCTTATTGGCGGTCCCAACTAGGAGCGCCTGGCCTTACCGCCTTACCGTGTCTTTCTTCAAACCCAGCTTTTGGGTCTCTGTGAACTGCATCTGCACCTCCTGCAGCCGGTGCTGCAGGATCATAACGTCCTTCTCCTTCCTCTCCAGATGGGCGGATGTCTCCTCCCGCAGCCCGTGCAGGTCCAGCTCCAACTTCATCATTTCTACATTGGCAGGACAGAGTGCTCTTGCTTAGAGGCAGATTCTTCCTTCCTTTTGGCTTCCCGCCCCTCCGTGCCACAGCCACCAGCCCATGGTGTACCCTTCATGATGTTTTTCTTTTGTTCTGACACAGCCTCGAGCTCCATGCGCAAGTCCTTCACAAGGTTCTGGTATTCCTCCACATGCAGGCACTGGCTGTCCTTTTGCTCCTGTAGGTGCTTCAGGATCTGGGGAGACAGAAGAAGAGCAGGGCAGGGTGAGAACAAGGGGGAAGAATGCTTTCCAAAAGTCTGAATGTCCAGAACAGGCAAATCCGTAGGGTGGAAAGCAGACTAGTGGTTGCCAGGGGTGGCAGTGGGGGGTGGGGGGGATGGGGAGTGACTCCTCATGGATATGGGTTTTTGGAGTGATGAAAATGTTCTGGAGTTAGTGGTCATGTTGTTCAACTCTGTGAATATACTAAAAGCAACTGATTGTACGCTTTAATTGGGGAATTTTATGGTCTGTCAATTACATAGCCATTTAAAAAATAGAATTAAAAAAAGAGATATGGCAGACTTCTCACACTCACACTGAATGTGCACAAAAGAAGCCACTTCTTCAACCTTCTGGTGGGGTGAGACAGACAAAGAGCATAGTAAGTAGTGACTTATACAGCAGGAAACATTAAAAATTGATAATTGCTATGGAAGAAGCAGAACAGCAAGAGGGGAATGGAGGTGATGGGGGCAGGGGCAGGTGTGTGGGGTTGCAATGTTAAATAGGATGGATTGGCTGGCCTCACTGAGAAGGGGGCCTCTGTGCAGGGACTTGCTCGAGGTATCCGAGGGAAGAGCTTTGTAGCCAGTTATAAGGCCCCAGAGAAGGAATGTGGAGGAGGCCTTCTGGTTACAGTGGAGCAAGTGATGGGGAGAGTAGCAGGGAGGAAGTTGGGGCAATCACTGCTTGTAGTCCCTTGGCAAGAACTTTGGCTTCAACCTTGAAGGAAAGGGAAATGGGCTGTAACCAAGAGAAGGCAGAAACATGTACCCACGGCCAAGGAGGAGCAATTGGGTGTCTGGGCATCTAGGGAGGCTGGGAGGAGGTAGCTTCGTGATTTCAGAGTTGACAGTGAGTGTGGCATGAAGACAGGGGACAGCCGGAGAAATGCAGGGCAGTCTCCATATGACTTAGGTGGGCACTGCAGGGACTCAAAGGCCCAGTGTATGTCAGGCCAGCGGAGCAGGGAGAGGACTGCTGGCGTTAACTGAGATGTAGATGGTTCCACTCCTAATAGAATATCGAACTAACATGAAGGTTTTGGATAGGATACATAAAAAGGAGGGGGACAGTATTTTCTGTTTCTTGGGAAAGTCTGTATCATTTTTTAAAAATGGAGTGTTAAAAGAGGAATTAGTGTTTAGCGGATAGAGTTTCAGTTTTGCAAGATGAAAAAGTTCTAGAGATTGGTTACCTACCTATGTTAGTATAGTTAACATGGATGAGGTATATACTTAAAAGTGGTTAGGATGGTAAATTTAATGTCATGTTTTTTTAAACCACTATAAAAAATGAAATAGTAACGGAGAAATAAAGACATTTTTCAGACAAAAATGAAAAAGGAGTGTTATGAGATCTTGCTGTAGGTCAGGATGTGAATAACATGGAACTGACCTTTAAAATAAATATTGACAGATGTCCAAGGAGGAAACTCCAAAGTTCAATATTGATCTCTCATTCATTCAAACTTTCTGGGATCAGAAAGAGTTTGCTCCTCCGCTAGAGAACCCCTTGGAGAGCTGTATGTGTTGTTTGCTCTCTCTGCTACCCCCACGGCCCCTATTTCAGCATCAGCAGGCTGCCCTCACATGCCCACAGCATGGCCTCATGTGGCCGGCTTTACCTTATACCTCAAGTTCAGGCATGACTCACTTAGGAGGGGATCTAACCTAGTTTTGACTATTGGTTGGTCAAATCTTGCTATTTGTTTACATGGTTTAAATGCTTATTCATTATGAGTGTCTACTTTTGAGATGCCTTCAAATTTTGATAACAGCAGGTTTTCAAAAAAAAAGTGAATGAATTTGAAATAATAATCTTCCCTAAATCTGCTTCTTTTCAATTCCACCCAGAAACTAGAAGGCTGGAATGATCCTTCTGAATCCATAGAGCAGGAGTCTGTATGTTGTTTAGGTGTTCTGTTGGAACTGCGTTAAGAGACAGGTGCAATTCCCAAATCCAATTCCAAAATCTAATGCTGGAGGACACACTGGGGCTTGGCATACATTATACACAGCATCCACGGGGCAGGGCCAACTAAGGCTACACAAATATAAAATATCATATAATATAAAAATTAAAAATAAGCAGGAAAACCCAGAATCAAACCCAAATTGGCATGACTCAGCAGGCACAAATAAGCAAAAGTTCTCCCACCTTTTTGATGTCTTCACAATCTTCTGAGGAACTAGGAGGATGTCGGTGGGTGGCTGTATAAGAAGCAAAGTCTGCTTGTAATTTTATCAAAGCCTCTTCACGTTCCAGAACCTGCAAATGAGCACAGGTCAGTTATGCTGCATGATCAACGTAAGGTGTTTATTTCTACTACTATTTTAGCAGGGTGATCCTTTTTTCATCCTAAATTTGTCATAACATTATATAATTAATCACACACTTCCTGTGGGGTTGGTATGAGAAGGAATTATGTTCTGAATCTTACATCAAGGTTCACTAAGACATAGACAATGATTTGTCTTGAGTTTGTCAGTGGACACACTTTGGATTCCCTCCTGAACCCATGTGTGGTCCAGTTTGTTAGGCAGATGAAGGTTGTTTGGAGGCTGTGAAATTAGGAAAGATGCACTTAATCTGTCAGAAGATGTGGTTCAAAGCTCAGCAATTAAAGAAGGAAGTTTTTTATGGAATGTGCAAATATGTACATTTTTTAATTAAAAAAACATGAAATTTTTGTCATTTGTTGAGAATAATTCAAATAAACCCAAACATTGATAATAAGAAGTAAAAATTTCCTCTCCATTCATTCTTCCCTCTCATTTCCCCTAAGCAGGTGGGGACACTACTGGCAATTTCCTGTATCTGCTTCCATATCATGATTAAAGACAGTGAAAAACCAAAGTGGAACTACACAAGATTCTGCAACTTATTCTTAACAATATATCACATGCATTCTTCCACGTAGTCCTTATAGATTGGCTTAATCCATTTGGTTGGCTGCATATTATTCCATGATATATCCATATCTCTTTAACCATTTCCCTATTGATAGGCACTTAGGTTGTTGTATGAAAGATTTTAAGTTTCTTTACAATCTTGAACTTAGGGTGGGCGGGGGAGGGATGCACACCATGGACGATACAAATAAAATAAACAGCAGAGGCAAGTTTATTTAAGACATTGATTAGTCTTAGTGAAAGATTACTTTAGGTGACACTTTTAACCTCCTTTCTTTTCTCTTTTAGGTCTCAGGAAAATGTTCTACAAGAAGGCACTTACCAAAGCATTACTGCAGGCTAGCTTATTTCGAAGTTCCTGGATCAGATCATCCTGTTCAGAGACCTTTTGCCAGACTTCAGACAGTCGTTTCAGGGTCTCCTGATGCTCTTGAATCATACAGGGAGATGTGTATATACGCACCTTTGAGTGATCACCCTTGCTCTCAGGTTCCTGGGATATTTAAAAATAATGGGTGGTTTTGTTCATAATTATTGAGTTAAGAATGCTGTGATCACAAAAAATCTCTAGACCTATATTCTAAAACTTTATGCTCATATATGTGAGTCATAACTTTCTTAACAAAAGAAAAAAATAACAAGTGTATACATACGGCATAAAGTTCAAACAGTTCATGAGCGAATAATGAAAAGTCAGTTTTCTTCCATCTTGGCTTTCTATGACTCAGGTCCCCTCTTTCATCACAGTTCTTCTTACCAGTCTTCTGTGTATCTTTTCAGAAACATGTGTATGTATATAACCCTCCAATTTTTTTGCCTACCCAGATGAAGTCTTCTACACACTATTGTAAGTTGTTTTTTCATTTGACAATTTATTTTCCATTTTGTTACTTGTAGATCTATCTTCTCTTAAAATTAACTTCAAATTGCACAACTAATACATGTATATAGTATGTTTCTAAAACTTGTAACATTAAATTTCTCTTTGAACACCTCCTCTAACCCTACTGTCACTGCATTCTCAGAGATGACCATTTATTTGCGCATAGCCTCCTAGAACTTTATCTATATATTTACATACATACAAATAAAACTATAGAATGCAGATATTATGTTGTCTTTTAAAATCACAAAAATAGATTTTTTCACTTAACAAGATGTCTTAGAAATTTATCCACATTAGTACATGTGCCTCCGTCTTCTGTTAAATTCCTTTTAAATGTGTTAATCAAGGCTCCTACTGATGAGAACATAGGTTTTTTTCCCCTAAAAAGAATCTGAATATTTTTACATGTAAACTTTGAGTTCCCTTTCTGGTATATATGTAGATTAAATTCATAGAAGTAGGACTGTCAGGACATACTTAAAACTTTGGTAGATATTACATAATTGTTCTTCAAAAAAATTGTACCAATTGACATTCTTATTAATATGTGCCTGCTTGTTCTCCTAGAACCATTTTTTTAAAAATGTCTTTTCCTAGATCATCTGAAATCATAGATGAAGGTTACTACCTGATCATTGGTCTGTACTAACAATAGAGTGACTGATGCAGATAATCAAAAAAAGAGCAAAGAGTTCTAGTTCATATGGTATGTCCTTTCCCCATTAAACTAATTTCCCTAACTAGGCTTTTTCAGGCAGTTAGAAATAGTTCATGTTCACTGAGCATGAAAGCTGCCCATGAGTAAGTTGTAGGAGGATGAGTCAGAATTCTAAAATTGACCATAAATAATGTTCTTATAAGTAATTTAATGTATAAGTGGGCAGAGGAGTGAAAAACAATAGAAAAGTTAAGAAACAGGAAGAAGCTATCTATAGATTCCATTATTTCCGTAATACTATAGGATGAAAAATAAAATCTAATTTAAAGTAACAAGCAAAATGTCCTGAGTTGTAGAAAAATGTACATTTTCAAATTCACAGGATCAGTGAAGTGCTGAGAAGCTTAATGAAAAATAAATTAAAAAGCCCTGAGCCTAAAAACTTCCAGAGTTCAAAGACAAAATAGGTAACTTACAAAAAATGACAAACAGCCTGAGATCTAAAAATTCCTTTTTAACATTTCATGGTATAAGACAGTGCAGTAATATTTTCAATGATTTAAAGCAGGTGTTTCTGAAAATTTGTATACCCAGCCAAACTAGCATTAAAGAATGATGGCAAAGTAAATCTTATTCAGACATGGAAATATTGAGAAATTTTACCACCCACAATTATTTCTGAAGGAATTTACAGGGCATTATTACAACAAAAGGCAAAGTATAAAAGTGCAGAAGAGGTGGGATATACTGCTGAGTAATGAGAAACGTTGATTTGTAATCTTAAAGAAATATACACTTATATAAACAGTCCTGGAGATTTAAAAATTAAAAAATTTTCTAACTCATTTATATTATGGCAGCATAATTCAGACTTCAATGAGATGAGAGCACAAAAATTTAAACCATCAAACTAATCTTATTTCTGAAAATAAATGCAAAAATTTTTTTAAACAAATTTATTATAGCAGTTGATTAAAATATAGTGATATATTATTGTTAAAATAATAATGTCATGATCACGTAGGATTTAATCCAGGAACATAAAGATTGTTCTAGAAATGAAAATCTCTTAGTGTAATCCACTTCATTAAAGGAAAACACTCTATAATTACCTTGAAAGACGCTAACAAAATCTTCAGATTAAATTCAACATGCATTCCTGATAAAAATTATTGTATAGACTGTCACACTTTCAACGTGAAAAAGGATATTCATAAGCAGCTAAGAACAGACATATTTAATAGTGAAACACTATAAAATATTTAATTTAAATTAAGGAGCAAGGTAAGGATGCTATAATTTTATAATTTTCTGGAGGTGTTGGTCAATGAAGTAAGATGAAAAATAAGCACAGCCACAGTGATCCTGAGAAAGAAGAACAAAGTTGGAGGAATCATGCTACCTAATATCAAATTATTCTATAAGGCTACTGTAATCAAAACAGCATGGCAATGGCATAAGAACAGACACATAAATGAAAGGAACAGAACAGAGAGCCCTGAAATAAAAGCACACCTTTTATCCAATTAATAATTTGACAGAGGAAACAAGTACATACAATGGACTAAAGATAGGGTAGTCAATAAATGGTGTTGGTAAAATTGAATAGATACATGCAGAAAAATGAAGCCAGACCACCATCTTACACCACACACAATAATAAGTTCAAAAGACTTAAGTATTAGACCTGAAAACATAAAAATCCTAGAAAAAAATATAGGCATTGCTCATAGCAATATTTTATTGGATATATCTCCCCAGGCAAGGGAAACAAAATAAAAAGTAAAGAAATGGGACTATAGCAAACTAAAAAGTTTTTGTACAGCAAAGGAGACTGTCAACAAAATAAAAGACAACTCACGAATGAGAAAATGTATTCACTGATACATATGATAAGGGGCTAATATTCAAAATCTATAAAGAACTTACAAAACACAACACCAAAAAACCAACCCAATTAAAAAATGGGCAAAGGACCTGAATAGATACTTATCCCAAGAGGATATACAGATGGCCTATAGACATATGAAAAGATGCGCAACATCACTAATCATCAGAGAAATGCAAATTAAAACAACAATGAGATATTACCTCACACCTTTCAGAATGGCTATCATCAATAAATCAACAAACATTAAGTGCTGGCAAGGATAGGGAAAAAGGACCTGCTGTGCACTGTTGGTGGGAATGCAAACTGGTGAAATCACTATGGAAAATGGTATGGAGATACCTCAAAAAATTAAGAATGGATCTGCCTTTTAATCTGGTGATCCCACTTCCGGGGTTATGTCCAAAGGAACCCAAAACACTAATTTGAAAGAACATAAGCACCCCTATGTTAATTATAACACTATTTACAATCTCCAAGATATGGAAGCAGCCCAAGTGTCCATCAGTAGATGAGTGGATAAAACAACTATGGGATATTTACACAAAGGAATACTACTCGGCTGTAAAAAAGAAGAAAATTTTACCCTTTGCAACAGTATAGATGGTTGTGGAGAACATTATGCTAAATGAAACAAGCCAGTCAGGGAAAGACAAATACCATGTGATTTCACTCACATGTGGAATCTAATGAAGAAAGTGAATTAACAAGCTAAACAGAGATAGACTCACAGATAGAGAGCAGGATGACAGCTGTAAGGGTGGGATGTTCAATAAGTAGAGTTGGGGCGGTTTAGGGGATGGAGGGATTGATCAATAAGGAAAAAGGACTCATGGACATGGACAACAGCGTGGTGATTGCAGGGAGAAGGGGAGTATAAGGGGGTTAAATGGTAATGGAAAAAATACAATACAAATTAAAAATATAAATAAATCATGTAGAACTCAATACACAAAAAGAAAAAAAATAAAATTAAGTTGTATAAATGTTAAAAAGGAAAGCAATTGTGGAGAAATCCAAGAAAGTCAACTGAAAATCTGATAAGAGAGCTTGATAAGGTAGGATAAGAGTTTTCCTCTACATCAATAATAATTAATAAAATAAAATTAAGTGTATAAAGTATTTCATACATACAACCAGTAAAACTGTAATATAGCTAGAAATAAACATAGCAAGAAATATGTGAGATATATAAAGAAAAGTGTAAAATCTTCCTGAAGGATACACAAGAAAACTTGAATAAAAGTGGAAGCATGTCATGTTCTGTAGGGTATGCTAATTTTCCTGAAATTAATATATAATTTGAAATTAGGTTAACATAAATCTAAATTTTATCAAGGAAAGGTGTACAAAAGTGGCCAAGGAACAGAGAAGTAGAACCTGCTCTAAAAGGAGCTATCAAAACATATGTCACTTTTTTTATGTCTCGAAATAACTTTTACCCTGGTGCAGGAACTGGCAAGAGATTAAAAAATATATAGCGTCCAAAAAGAGCCATGGGTACAGAAGGCTTGGAACATACAGTGAGTTGCATATGTTCCAAAGTAGGCACTTCAAAGTAGGAAAAGGGTGGGATGTTCAATAAATAGAGTTGGGACAACTGGAGATCCATTTGATAAACATAAAATTATAGCCTTATCTCATTATGTATACATGAAAAACAAGTAAATAAAATTTCCAGACAAACTAAAGATAAAAACATAAAAATACAAAATTATAAAAGTGCTAAAAGAAAATATAAGACAATCTTTTGCAATCTTGTGGTAGGGAAAGCCTTCCTAAAGTAAGACATACAATCTAGAAACTATAAAGAAGGATCGGGTTTCAATTCCATAAAAATTAAAAATGTCTTTATGGTGAAAACATACCATTAATAAAATGAAAAGCTACCAGCTGGGAGAAAATATTTGTAATACATGTAATAAAGTGTTATTACCTATAATATATTAAGAAACTCCTATAAATCGATACCAAAAAAAGGACTAACAACCCAATAAAAATAAGTTTAGGATTTAAACAAGTAATTCGTAAAACAGAGCACACGAAAAGTACTCAATACTTGGTTAGTGTGGCGGGCTCTGTGATGTGCCTCCCAAACTCCCTTCAGCAAAGAAGGGGTCACCTACTCCTCGGCCTCCTAGAGTGCCGCTCTAAGACAGCCCCAGCCGTCTGCCCTGCTTGGCGATTGCCTGGGCAGAATATGACTTTCCCTCTCCCTAGGGACAGCTCACATCTCTCAACATGGAGGTATAAAGGCCAGCTCCCTTCTCCCCGATTTAGGACCACTCTGAAGGACCATCTAGCCCGGGGGCTTGCCATGGAGTTGGCTAAGTCTTTGTTGAGACTGCATCACGCTCAACTTTTCCCTCTGCCCCATCCTGCTTTTGTCCCCTTTGTTTCACATATATTGGTAACAAGAGCTCTCTCTAAAAATTTCCTGCAGGCTAATCTGTTTCAGAGTCTTCTTTCTGAAGAATTCAATCCACAACTATTAGAATTAACAGAAATACAAACTGTAATGAGAAAACCTGTTTTTTTTTCATCCATCAAGTTGAAAAATATACAGAGTATGGGGAAATAAACTTCCTCAATTATTACCGGTAAAACTGGTAGACCCTTCCTCATATGCAATTTATAAGTATCTTTAAACATTAAAAATAAGCATATCCTGTGGTCTAGCAATCCCACTTCAGGAAATTACCTCACAGAAAGGAGGATGTTCCTTACAGCTTATTTGTAATAGACAAACAGGTCAGTAAATGGTAGAGTCATACTATGGAATACAGGTAATAACTAAAAGAAATTAAGATACATTTAAAAAGCAAGTTGTACTATCACATTTACAAAATGACCAATTTATGTAAAAAGAAAATCCTAACTATTTATACATGTAACTGTACAGCAAAAGGCTGGGGAAGATTCCCAACACATTATTTAAGTGATTGCCAAGGGGGGCGGAGGAGTCTGAGGGTGGACCTTCACATTTAACTTCCATACGTCTATCTAGAGAGCCTATATCATTGCATTGAATATTACTTGTGTAATTAAAAAGGAGCAACCGGAAGAACAAATTCAGGCATTTTTGCTCTTCTTTTCTGTGTTTCATGTCTTTATCTTCCTGTTTGATCCTGAGGTCATGATTTGCATGAGTCCTATAACCTAGTAGAGCCCTTCAGCAGACCCTCATGAGAACATGAAAGATTTGAAAATGGATTTGGTAATTCACTTTCTGCCTTATTTGAAGTTGTGGCTTTTTATATTGATTAAGGGTCTCAAAATTCTTAAGGAACGATGTTAAAGGGGATGTGTAAACTGGATGTTCAAAGTTGAAGGCTGTATAATTCAAGGGAAGGAATGATATCTGGTTGAAGGTCTGGCTTTTTGATGGAGAAGGCTGGAACTGTTACAGGGGACTTCCTGGTTTTAGGGGTGTAGGCTATGTCCTACCTGACTGACAATCCCGCCGAGCTCCCCTTCCAACATCTTCACTTGGCACTCCAGTAATTCAATGTTGCTCAGGGAAGTCTGGTATTTATCCCTGTAGAGGTTTAAGCTTCTCTCTAGGGAGACGATCTTGTCCCCCGCCAAGGCGAGTTTCTCATGTGCCAAGTGGAGCTTCTCCCCTGTGCTCCCATTATGATTTCCAATTTCTTCCTCATAGAGAGTCACCTGTTGGTGCAGAAATGAAACCAACCACATGGAACCCATAGAAGCATCTAATGAAGAAAGAATGTGGCTCTAAGACTCCATGTAGAAGAATCTTATATCTTAGCTCGTCCTAAGAAACACAGATACACAAAACAGGCCCAGCACATATCTAAGAGCTACAATATATAATATTAGAATGTTAATGATTAGATATAAAAAAGGTTGTCCTATTTAGATGGTAAGCTTCTTAAAGGCAGGAACCATATCTATTTCCCATTCTGCCTGGCATGTAATAAGAACTTCATAAAGACTTGTTAGTTGATTAATAGGAATCAATTTGTATAGTTCCATTTTTAAGGGCTTGAGATGCTAGCATTATCTCTTTCCTAGGTATTCTCTAGAGGTCTAATTTAGAAAATGTAGAGCACCTTGTGTACATAGGTCCATGTCAGCCAAGTTCCCTAGAGATCATGGGGGAACATGACCTGAAGTTTCTCTGGGATTTGTACAGTCCTTATTTAGATTCCTTTTCTTCCTAATCAATTAATTAGCCAACAAAGTGACATATTTATTGAATGCTCATGAGCAATGTCTTGGGTGCTGAGGGGATATATAATAGTATATGACATGGCTCTTCACTCAGAATTTATAAACTCTGACAATTTGGGGGAGAGATGATTTAAAATTAGCAAACAACTGTACATAGTGGAGAGTGCTAAATTGTATGGCTTGCATTACATGTATGGAAGGAGTTAGGAGCAAAGAATTGCCAAGGAAGTCTTAACTTTGGTTCAAATAATTCATCATAGAATTAAAATAGAATAATGTTCTATTGGTCTAAGCTAATTATAGTTGCTGCCTGTCATTTGAGATTCTTCATAGGAAAGGATCATTTAGTTGGAGGTGTTTATTAGGTAAGGAGAAAGAGGAAAGGAATATTTTACATTCAAATGTTTATAATAGAAGCTGCCAGTGGCCTGCTCATATCCCCTTGGTATGACTGGGGGATATCACCATTCCTTTGCTAAATTCATTCTAGCCACAAGCATCATCAACTCTGCCTAAGATATGTTCTGGCTGTAGGGGCTCACCCAAGCAGAGGAGCAAGACAAGGTAGGTTATAAGTAATGGGGAATTAATACGCTCAATGCAGTCCTTAACCAATGACAGGGGTATATTCTACACCATCTCCCAGAGTTCTCCAGGGACTGAACCCCAGCTGTCTACAACAGTGATCTTCATAATAGTTTTTCTTTATGCCCTCCTTTGACTTACTCTCTACTTTCTCACCCTGCTTCCTAGGATCACCTCCTGAATTAACTACCTATATCCATTTTCTTGTCTTGGGGTCTGCTGTTGGGAAACCCAACCTTAATCAGAAGTTTGATGCTCTGTGTAATAAATATTGAGAGAATTTGGCAGAATGCCTGAAGTAATTTTCCCAGTGCTTTCCTGGTTTGGGATCTGTTTCAGTGACTGCTACTGCTGCTGCTACTTGCCACACCACTTCTTCCCCTCGTTAGTAATAGCACCTTGTCTTTATTTGGGACAGCAGAGCACCTCACTAAAACAGCACATTTCCTAGGCTCCTTAGTTGTAGCCATGTGACTAACTCTGGCCACTGATATATAAGTGCAAGTGTATGGGGCTTTTGAGGTGTCCTTAAAAGGGAGGAGTGTGCCTTTCTTTCCACATCCCCCAACCCTATCCTGATTATTTGGATCAAGGATGGGATGGTTGGAGCTCCAGTAGCCACCTAAAAAATGGAAGCCTTGAGCTGATGATGGTAGAGCTAAAAGATAGGACCCTCAGTTCCTGATGACAGAGTTGCCATAACAGTCCGAGACCATTTTTTTAATATTTCATAGAAAAAAAACCTATCTTATTTAAGTGCTATATCTTGGGAGTTTCCTGGTATATGCAGCCAAAGAGAATCACAACTAATTCAGGGCTACTTTACCAGGCTAGACTCTTGTTTAAATTATAGTGAGTTTTGAGTTTTAACAGCAGTCCTGCATTAGCTTTATTACACCATGATTTATGCCCACCAGCTTTGTTCCAGATTATATTTTGTAGGATAACCTTTCTCTGTTCCTTTCCCACCCAACCCTTTTTAACAAATTCTCATTCGCCATAATATTCCCTTTTAAAAAATTCCGTGTTTTTTAAGGCCCCTCATAAAGCCCCTGGAGTTAGTCTTTAAGCAACAGCACATACACGCACACACATGTAGCAGCAGTACCAGCAACATCGAAGACAGGCCTTGGAAATTTATCTTTAAATGCCAAGGAAGAAATGCCAGGGGAGGCTGCCTGTCCCATTACTTAGAACTGCTGCTAGTGCTGCCATTGCTCAACTAGTTTAAGTTCTTCTAGAGCTTTGGTCTTTGGAATTTTGGGGGGATTCTACAAGGATTCTCTCTTTGGTTTAACAAATACGACCCTGAGACATGAATAGAAATGAATGTCCAGGATATAGTTAAGCTAAGTCTAGATGATCTCAAACTCCCATCTGAAAAAAATGACTGATCTGGTATTCTCAATGACTGACTCAGACTCAGTGTCTCGTTATTTTATCAACTGTGCCAATGCCAGGAATTTATATATTATAAAAACTTAATTTTTCTAAAAATGGTTCATTTAATAGACCTTACACCCTTTTTTATAACCCTCAGAGACCTAAACTCGTTTGCATTTAAATTGCAATGGTAATAAAATGGAAATGATGGGCCTTGACACACATCGTACATACGTGTGCACACACACGTGCACTGCATACCCCACGTTCATTAATACTGGAGCTCTCACCCAATTATGCCATTCTATTTAGTTCCCTCCGCTCAGCTTCAAAAAAAATCAAGAATTAAAGAGGGAAAGTTGATAAAACCTGCTCAAGATGTTGCGAAGCTCTCTTCTGTAAGTCCAATGTTTGCTTTCTAGGAGGCTTGGCCTGATTTCTGTAGGTACATGGGCATATGAGACATTTCCAAAGTAAGTCTATCTATACCTCATCTTCTTTCAGTTTGCAGTGATGGTGAAGAAGAACCAGGTCAGAAGTCTGCTTCTCTAGGACGGACTGATACTGCAGGAGGGAACAGTAAGAAGTCTGCAACTCCTCTGTGCGAAACTCCAGTTCTTGCTGAAGGGCCAGCAATTTTTTCTTGAGTTGTTGGAGCTGTCTCAGGTGACATTGTTTACTGGGCCCAAACTCCATCTGTGATTCCTCAAATGCCAACGTTTGTTTTTTATTCTGCAATTGAGATCAAATATACAGAAAAGGCTTTAGAGTGTCAATAAGCATGGAGTCATTCTTCGATTTTTTTCATTTGTTCAGCCATTCACATCCATGTATCTCTCCTTTTATCTTTTCATCTACAGATCACTTATTAAATGTTTCACTTTATTCACAATGAAATATCACTTTGTATTTCCACTCTATAAGAAGAATTTAAAAGAAGAAAAAAACCCCATAGTTTGTTCTTACCATTTAGATCTACCATTCATCTTACCTAGGTCAGAGGAAAAAATGCACATGAAGGACCTCAACAGTAGTATAAAGATATATGTGATAATATGCTTATGTTTTGTCTTCACCTATAAAGATAACACAACTAACTTGGAAGGTAATGGATTTCTGGTCACGGTTCTTGGACTAATCTTAATTATTAAAAATGCCCAGATCAAAGGGTAAACTCCTGGGTAAGCTTTTAAGGAAACAGGTTTCTGAATGGTGGGAAATAGGAGGCAGAGATATTGTTCAGGTCTGTCTAGACGCTGACTCTGCCTCCTTTTCTTGATGGGAGATGTGACCTTGCAGATGTTAAGTGTGTGTGTGTGTCTGAGAGAGAGGGAGGGAAGGAGGGGTTGGGGGGGAGAGAGAGAGAGAGAGAGAGAGAGAGAGAGAGAGAGAGAGAGAGAGCGCTCCCTGACAATCCACAATTCACCTGAAATGCTGCTAGACCCAGCCTACATTTTCATTCATTCCTTCAATAAACTTATGTTGAACACCTACTTTGAATGACATATTTTGCTGGTAGGATACATCCCTGAATTGTTTATCTAGCACAATTGAGATATTTGCTCTGATGTGTCTATTTTCTTGCCCAACATGCTTGATGACATGTAGAAGAGAGGTGGATGATGAGGGTGGCCTGTGAGTAGTCCTTAGCTCCTGTCTCTGCTTATTATCCTTTTATTCATTATTTAAAACCCTGTCCAAATCCTGCTCTCCTTCTTATTTTCCCTGCAAAGATGTCCACATCAATACCACAGACTTCACTGGCATGCCCTTAACATGGCATTTCACACTCTGCCCTGCATGGTAGTGATCTCTGTGCATCTAATATGGTAAGTCGGTTATAAACTCCTGGAGGGCAGGGGCCATGTCTGCACCTAGAGAGCCTAGATTAGAAATTCATACACAGGTAGGTATTGAAAGAGAGAAGAAACTAATAGAGAATGAGCACTTGCACTGGTTCCCAAGAATTTGAGCTTGTGGCCTTGGCCTCATTAACAGAGTACTTTCAGACTTAAAAAAAAAACAAAACTGTTTTTAAAAAACAGTTTGATTGAGGTATACTTTAGATATCATAAAATTCAACCATTGTGTACAATTTAATGACTTGTAGCAATATGGAGCTGTGCGATCATTATCACAATCCAGTTTTAGAACATTCCCATCACCTTAAAAAATTCCCTCATGCCCATTGGTCACTCCTGTTCCTACCCTCGGCTCCAGGCAACCACTAATCTGCTTTCTGCCCCTATGGATTTACCCATTCAGACATTTCATATAAATGGAATTGTATAAAATGTCATCCTTTGTGTCTGTCTTCTTTTCCTTAGCATAATGCTTTTGAGGTTCATCCAGGTTCTAGCAAGAATCAGTATTCTGTTCTTTTTTTATTGCTAAGTAGTATGAATATACCATATTTTCATCTGTTCACCAGGAATGAATATTTGGATTGTTTTTGTTTTTGGCTCTTATAAGTAATGTTGTTATAAATATTAACATAGTAGGTGTTGTGTGGATATTACATTTTCATTTAATTAATTTGTTCAGCAAATATTATGGTGTACTTACTATGTGCTGAGCGGTGCTAGGTAGTGGGGATACAGAAATTTATAAAACATATAAAATTTCTGCCTTTATATAATTTGCATCTAATGGGGGGTGGGGAGAGAAAGAAAGAGAGAGAGAGAGAGAGAGAAAGAGAGAGAATCAAACAAGTAAATTATGGAGGGTATTAAGAGAACAAAGTGCTATGGAGGAGAGTGAAGTGGGGGGTGCGGGGGCGGGGGCGGAGATGAGGAATGCCAGGATGGAGGAAATTGTAATTCTGAATGTAGTTTCACGGAGACCCTTGTTGAGAAGGTGACATTTGAGCCAAGACTTGAGGAAGACAGAGAAGGAGCCTGGTGGGAGTCTACAGCAGGAACACTTCAGGGAGAAGTAACAGCAAAGGGTAAGGCCTGGAGGTGAGAGGAGGCCCGTGGTGTTTGACGAGTCACTTGTTCTGCCTGCAGCAGAGAGTAAAGGGGAGAGTGGTACTAGAGGAAGTGAAAGGGAGGCAAGGTTTTTTAGGGCAATGTATGCCATTCTAAAGACTTTACCTTTTCCTTTCAAGGAGATGAAAGACCACTGGAGGGTACAGAGCAGAGGGGAATGACCTGATCTCTTTTAGATGTTATGAAGTATGTGCTGGCTGTTCTGTTGAAAATCAGCTCTAGGGAGGCAGAGCAGGGAGAGCAGTCAGGAGGCTACTGCAAGAATGAGGGTGAGGAGATGATGGCTTGGACCAAGGTGGTAGCAGGAGTAGGTGGGAGAGATGGTTGGATTCTAGATGTATTTTGAAAGTAGAGCCTACAGTATTTGCTACTGCAGCAGACGTGGGATGGTGGGAGGTGACAGTCATGCAAGGCAGGATGACTCCAAGGTTTTGGTCTGAGTAACTGGAAAGATGGGATTTTAATGAGATTAATTAAGAAAGAACTGAGATGCAGGAGAAAATCCTCTCTAGTGAGAGTGGATGGGGGCAGCACAGATAAGGGAGGCTCAGTCCAGCTCTGAACCAGAAGGTTTATAGCTGAGTGTGTTGGTTAAAATCTGATTTACTCTTTCTGGCTCTCCTGGAAGTATATTCCATCCTTAATTCCTCAAGTAGAGAAGACAGGCTGAAAACTGACCACAGCTTTCACCAGACAAAAGAAATCCTACGCAAAGACAAGCTGAACTTTTGGCTTGAATATCCGGATACTGGGGGGAAGTTGATGAGACTTCTTTCCTGAGCTGAACAAAGTGGAATTCTGTATTTATTTCGTGTAGCTACAATTTCTAGTATTTATATTAAATGTTTTCAGTTAAGTGCTTCCATTCTTTTCAAGATAAGAAAGTTGTTATTCTCACACCTTGTCTATGAATGAGGTTCAGAGAGAATGGACTTGGGAATAACATGTGTGTGTGCACATGCATGTGTGAGCTTGTACATACACACATGTGGGGAGAGGTGCTCAAGATCCTGAGTCCTCTGTCTATACAGGCTGGGGGTGAAGAGCTACTTGGAAAGAGACATGGTAAGTCCCTAATACAGATAAAACTAAAACAAAGGAGTGAACATTTGGGGGTAGGCAGAAGTCAGGACGGCTTATTTTAGTGATGCAAATACCCAATAAAATCCTTATCAAAATTTGCCAAAATTCTGTTTCTCTTGGCTTTGTGGTAACATGATGGACCAATCAGATGATAAGAGTTTACTTAAATCTTCCAGTACAGGGCAAATGTCACACCTGCCCTAATTTGTCTGGTTATAAAGATCCAAAGGTGGCTCATATATTCAGAGAAACAAGAGTTTTCTTGGATGAGAATTTTATACATTTATACACTACAGCTACCTGTGAGTTTAGAGGAATCAAATTTCAGAGACTTGGAGAAATGCCTAGACTTATTTGAGACCTATTAAATTTCTACATATTTATCCTTAAGTACTCAGGAGATTATTTTTCTTAATTCTAGATGAATAGAAAATGACACGCTATGGATTAGGCCTACATATTACTTATATGTGCCAAAGAGCAGTATCATAAAGGCATTAATGTATTTCCTATTGCTTCTTTGCCTTCTTTAAAAAGTTTTCTTTCTAATGAAGACAGGCATTTTATTATATTCTTCTTTGACCTTTAAACTGAGATCTTGAGAAAATGAGCAAATTGGAAATGATTTAATGGAAGTAAGATTAGTTCTGAAAATGACTATTGAGAGTTGGGCATGATTCTGGAGGCCATCTGGCCCACGTTTCTCAGATTTCTACCCAGACCTCAAATGCTTGCTATTTATTTACTTGTTTGTTTGTTTATATTTTTAGATAGAGGGGTCAGGAAGGGAGAGAGAGAAAGAAACATCGATCAGCTGCCTCTCACATGCCCCCATCTGGGGACTTGGCCCACAACCCACGCATGTGCCCTGATCCACAATCCAACTGGTAACCTTTTGGTTTGCAGGCCAGCGCTCAACCCTCTAAGCCACACCAGCCAGGGCAGACCTCAACTGTTTTAAAAGATGGAAAGCACTGGCCACCTGTATGAATCTGTTCCCATATTTAGTCAACATTTTAGTCCTACTTATGGTCAAAGAGATTATAGCTATTGCTCCCTCTGTGCTCATGTGGCCACTTGATCATATAAGGAAATTAATTGGCCTGGCGTGATTTACTTTTGAAAAGTCACATTGGTTTCCATCCAGTACTCTATGCTTTTCAAGTTGATGCTAACTGATTGATGTTAAGTTCCATATTTTCCCTGATATTGATGTTAAGCTGACAGGTCTATAATTATTGGGATTGTCCTTTTTCCCTTTTTAAAAAGATGAGCACTTCATTTACCCTTTTTCAGTCTACAGGGACTTTCTCTATCCTCTTGAGTTCTCAAAAATAATTGCTAGCAGCTATGTAATAACACCTGCCATTCCTTAAGTACTCTTAGAAGTATGTCATAAGGCCCTGCTGATTTGCCCAAAGCTGTCTTTTCAAAATACTTTTTAACCATTTTATTCCTTATTTTAATTTTCAATAAGTCTTTTCTGTTTCAGGTTGGCATTGCTCTGATAACCAGATCTCTGCTGATATTTTTTCTTAATTTAAGAGCTGAAAGTCTCATATTTTTCCAGTCATCATGAACATCTTTCCTCCTTTTTTGAGGTGTTGAGATATTTCTCTTGTAACTCTGTTTCAACCTTAGATCACTAGACAGGTTTATCTGTTACATTTTATACCTACAACAAATTCCATTTCTTATACTTTCTTGAATGTGGAACTGTGTATTTAAGTTACATGCATTTCTTTTGGATGCATCTTCATGGTTTAGAGATCTTCTCATCAGTGATCTCTGCTTAGTAGAGATTCACTTTAAAAAATTAACTATTTTGAAATAATTTTAGATTCCAGAAAATTGCAAAGAAGTACAGGCAGTTCTCATGTACTTTTTAAAAAAGTATTTTATTTATTTTTCAGACAAGGTGTAGGGGGAGGAGAGAGAGAGGAAGAGAAACATCTATGTGTGAGAGAAACATTGATTGGCTGCCTCTTGCACGCCCCCATCGGGGGACCCGCCCTGACCTAGAATAAAACCCATGACCATTAGGTTTACGGGACCATCCCCAACCCACTGAGCCACACCAGTCAGGGCAGTTCTCATATACCTTTCACCCAGCTTCCCCTAATGTTAAAATTTTACATAACCATAGTATATTTATTCAAACTAAGAAATTACCATTGGTAGGTTACCATTACCTAAACTAATACTTTATTTGGATTTTATCAGTTTTTCAACTAATGTGCTTTTTTTTTCTGTTCCAGGGTTCAGTCCAAGATCCTACATTGCATTTAATACACTCACTTAAAAATTTTTTTCATTCCTAGTGATTCAAAGTGCTATCTATGATAATTTTCATTGGGAGTCTATTAATCTTTACATATTCAACTAATTACTTTTATCCACAGAAATAAAATTTCTTACAGAGTTTTATGTTAAAAATAATGTCCTTCTTACACTTCAAAGATGAGTTTGACAATCTGAGCCCTACTGAATATCGGGGATATTCTCCTCATGCTACTACCAGGGCCAAAGAAATCTGGGAAATTGTTCAAAGAGACCTTTCCTTTTCTGGTTTGATCATCACAATATCTCTGTTGTTCTTTTATCCTTTCATTTTAATTGAGGTCCTCTTTTGATTCCTGGGCAAGGTAGGGACTAGAGTAAGGCAACTGAGATGCAATTAACAAGAAGGCTCTCAGTCTCAGAGTTGAATAAGAGGGGCTGGTACCTGAGAGTGAATGGCCCTTAAATTTTGCACCTAGGCACCTCACTTGCTTTCCCTTAGTCCTAGTTCTGTTTCTGAGCTTTAGAACACATTGTATTCTTGATTTACAAGGTCATGCCATTTTCTTTCTTCACCAGGCACTCCCTTGCGTGCCACTCCTTCAGTTATACATAACATCTGATACAATATTTTAATTTTCTCCTGTAACTGTAGTCCTGAACCCTGACCTCCTGCTTATTTCTCCAGCTCCTTGTTAGATATCAGTCAACATTTCAGAAAGTCTTGGGTTTCCCCTTTGTTCCCATATTACATTTCCTCATGGAAGGCAGATCTTGCAGGGACTTTCTGAGTGGATGAGTATAAGTCTACATCTAATTGTGTATTTGTATGCGGAGTCTGCAATTTAAATTCTTCACTAAGTGCTAGGAAAAAAAGAGTCTGTTTTAAAGCTTGTTTCAAGCTGTTAGACCTTCTGGGCAATTAGAATAATAAAATGTGACTTAATATCTTTCTCCTTCCAAGTTGCCACTTATTTATAAGCTGCATGGTTTTCCCTGACTTGGGGAATAAATAAACTTGTGACAGCGATGGTGAAAATATTCTAAAACATTAATATTTAGAAAGAAGTAAATTATGATAATAGCCTTCCTGAGATCCATTTAAAAAACCAATGGATTTCTCTATATTTGTGACTTACTGGAGAAAGGACAGCAGTGCTCAATAAGATAAGGTAGAATTGCTTTGTTGGTAGCATTTTTAGGGCATTACAGAGAAACAATCTGTGGTTTTTATAGGGAGGTGGTAAGTCCTGGGAGAACTCTAACGGACACAATTAAGAGAGACCAGATTCTTGACCACAAATGTTGAAGAAGATAGTGGTTGCTTACACAGCAGCTAAGAAGCTAACTTTGGGGTCCAGCAATAGGTCTGTGCAACCAGTACATGCTTTATGGTTGCCAAGAACTTAAATTCCTAAACGGAAATGAAGACTGCAAAGTAAGGAATTCTTGGAAACCCAAAGTGTTTAGAGAGCTTTGGGAAAATATTTTCCAGCTGGCCCCCTAGCTTTTGTGGATAAATTTAGAGACTGGTTTAAGGTCTTAGTGCTAGAGTTTCCAAAGAGAGAAAACCTCAGGCTGGCTGAAATGAGGTTGTTTCAGTTGATGATCTGTTTGGGTGACAGATGAGTATTAGTTCAAAATCACAGTCTCGATAAAGATGACCATGCCAGGAGGTCTTTCTGTTCGCATATGTGTAAGACAAATGTTGCTGAGTATCTTGGCTTGAGCACTATTGGAAGCAAGCCCTGTGACAAGGAACTGAGTATCAAGTAGTAGTTTATTTGGGAGGTGATCTTAGGAAACTCAAGTTGCTGAGCAGGAAAATAAGACAAGGAAGGGAAGGAAGCTGTGAAACCATGTGCTACCAAACTAGTTACCACCCTAGGCATCTGATGTTGGGTCCCATTGAGGAACTTGAGGACAGAGCAAAGAACATGCCTGGAATTACCTTTAACTGAGGGGCAAGGAAGATAGGTTATTTAATTCATCATCACCCCATCAGTCATTGATTGAGGGCTGCTTCTAGAGGTATAAACTCTTCTGCACTGCAGCTTCTCCTATGATTGGTTTCTTGCATCAAGAAGAAAGGCTGCAGGCAGAGAGCTACAGGTGTGGCAATGAAGAGCATCTGCTAAAAAAACCCAATGATGTATGTCACAGAACTAGAATAAATAATCCAAAAATTTATATGGAACCACAAAAGACCCTGAATAGCCACAGCAATCTTAAGCAAGAAGAAGAAAGCTGGAGGAATCATGCTATCTGATATCAAACTATACTACAAGTCCATAGTAATCAAAACAGCATGATACTGGCATAAAAACAAACATATAGATCAATGGTACAGAATAGAGAGCCCAGAAATAAATCCATGCCTTTAGAGTCAATATTTGACCAAAAAAGCAAAAACATACAATGGGGTAAAGACAGTCTATTTAACAAATGCTGTGGGAAAAATTGGATACATGCAAAAAATAAAAATAAAAAAAGAAACCAGACCACCTTCTTATACCACATACAAGAATAAACTCAAAGTGGAGTAAAGACTTAAATATAAGACTCAAAACCGTAAAAATCCTGTAAGAAAACAGAGACAATAAAATCTCAGATATTTTTCTTATTTTTTTTCTGAAATATCTGCTCAGGCAAGGGAAATTAAAAAAATAAACAAATGGAACTACATCAAATTAAAAAGTTTTTGCACAGCAAAGGAAATCATCAACAAAATGAAAAGGGGGGAACATATTCATCAATTATACATCTGATAAGGGGTTAATATCCAAAATTTATAAAGAACTCATACAACTCAACACCAAAAAAAACAAAACAAAACAACACTCCAATCCAATTAAAAAGTGGGCAAAGGATCTGAATAGATACTTCTCCAAAGAGGACATACAGATGCCCAGTAAACATGTGAAAAGATGCTCAACATCACTAATTATCAGAGAAATGCAGATTGAAACCACAATGAGATATCACCTCACACCTATCAGAATGACTATTATCAATAAATCAACAACTAACAAGCATTGGCGAGAATGTGGAATAAAGGGAACTATTGTGCACTGTTGGTGGAAACGCAGATCAATGCAGTCATTACGGAAACCTAATGCATGGAGTTTCCTCAAAAATTAAAAATGAAATTGCCTTATGACCCACAGATTCCACTTCTGGGTATATATCCAAATAAACCCAAAACACTAATTTGAAAGAATAGATGCATTCCTATGTTCATTGCAGCATTATTTATAATCGCCAAGATTTGGAAGCAGCCCAAGTACCCATCAATGGATGAGTAGGTAAAAAAGCTGTGGTACATATGTACAATGGAATACTACTCAGCCATAAAAAGAATGAAATTTTAACCATTTGTAACAGCATGTATGCACCTAGAAGGTATTATGATAAGTAAAGTCAGTCAGTCAAAGAAAGACAAATACCATATGATTTCACTTATATGTGGAATCTAAAGAACAACATATACGAAACAGAATAAACGAAACAGAAACAGACTCATACAGAGAACAAACTGATGGTTGTCAGAGGGGAGGTGGGTTGGGGACCTGGGTGAAAAAGGTGAGGGGATTGAGAAGTATAGATTGGTAATTACAAAATAGTCACAGGGATGTAAATACAGCATAAGAAATACAGTAATAACTATTATTATACAGGTAATAACTGTTTAAGGTGCCAGGTGGATACTAGAAATATCAAGGGGAATACTTTGTAAAGTATATGATTGTCTAACCCTATGCTGTACACCTGAAACTAATATAAAATAATATTAACTGTATAAAAAAACACCAAACTATTTCTTTGCCAGAAAAAAAGTACCTGCTGCACTGATGAGCAGTGACACCTCTGAGCAGGTGGAAGGGTTGTTATTTTTTTTGTTAACTTAGAAGTTTGTTTAAGATGCATTAGAGATGCTGCTCTTCTTATAAAATTGTAATTTGGTCTTGCAGGGCAATGGCCACAGGTGGTGCAAATCCACAGGTGTGGAAGTCCAGATAAGGAAAAGACAGAGCCTCAGATGTAGATGACCTTGGAGACAGCTGGATTGAAAAGTCCTGAGGGCAGGATGGTGCGTGTGTGTGTGTGTGTGTGGTGTGTGGTGTGTGTGCGTGTGTGCGTGTGTGTGTCTGTGAGAGAGAGAGAGAGAGAGAGAGAGAGAGAGAGAGAGAGATGTGTTTAATTCTCTCTCATTGCTTGCTCAATAAATGCTCTTGTGGAAGAACTTTCTATTATTATTCCTGTCAATGGGAGCAGAGTGGAAGTCAAGAGAGAAGAGGTGGGTAGGAGCTGCTGAAACACGTACGTGGCTGCTGTTCATCAGTGCCTCTTCCACACAGAGCTGATTCTCCTGCAAGGTCTTCCCCTGTCTCTTGCAAACATCATGTAGATTCTTGATGTCAACTTGCAGGCTTAAGAGCTTGCTGTTCAGGCTGCTCACTTCTCTGTCTCTTTCCCCTGCCTATGCAGTCAGAAAAACAGAAGCATCAATTATAAAATGTCAAGAAAATGCTTACTTTCGTTCACTTAACTGGTTGACAGAGACTTTAAATTTGCTGAAAATTTGTCCATCTACCGTTTACTATTATTACTCACTCTGTGTAACATTTACATATTCTTCACTTTGGAGGTGTCTGAGTGCTCTGTATTATTCATACAATTACTTATTTAATTAATCTTTGCCCACTGCTGTAGGTGCATCACAGACATTTCCCCTGTTTTTCAAGAGGAAGCCAATGCCTAGAATAATTCCAGGCACCTCGTAGATTGTCTATAAATATTAATGGTTCTCCCACTGATAAAATTAACATATTGAGATGTCAAATGAACTTGTCAAGACTAGCGAATCAGTGATGGAGCTGATGTGGATTTTGTAATCTCTTAACTATCTCTTCTACCCACTAAACCAAAACACCTCCCTCACCTGTAAACCTAGTGCTTTTTCTTTGGAGACATATACCAATGAGAATAAAAGTAAAATTCCTGGGCTGATTATATAAGATCATTGTCTTTGAATATGAGTGAAAAAGATTAGTTAATTATTGCTAGGTCAGAATGGAAATTAGTGATTGAGATCACTAATACAGAGAGTATGAAGCACAGAAACTTTGGTGGGATTGGGAGGTGGAGTTGTGGTAAGAGGGTGGGTGCTCCATTACCCTAGGGTGCCACCTTCGACTCCCAGTGTTATGGGTGGCTGCCATCCGTGTGAAAAGAAACTAAGAAGTAGCCCTCTGTGAACCTGTCCAGTACTTCAGTCCTAACACTGTGCAGACTGTTCATAACACTCATGAGGACAGGCACTATCTACCACCTCGGAGTTTCAAATGTTGGAACTGACGCTGGTGCTTTTATGGTAGGTACCTGTCTTATGTTAGAATACTCAGGGCAGGCTCTAAGGTGAGGATTCATGGCACCTACATTAAAGAAACACTCCCAAGAGCAATCAGGAAGAAAGTGGGGGAAGCGAGATAGGGAAGGGGAAGAAACCAAGCAAGGGCAAGATTTCAGACATAGTTCTGCGGGCAGTAGCTTTGACCTGATCCCACAGGGAACTCTGGAGTGTAAGTTATACCTCAGAGTCTGTCCTGATTAGATGGACTGAAAGGTGGGCTGTCAGACTTGGCATCAAGCCAGTCAATGGCTAAGGGCAGCCCCAAGGGAGGTAAGCAGCCAAGGACTTCCAGCTTTCTGCTCTTGCGAGCAAAGTCACCCCAATAACCTAAGGGCAATTCTTCTAAGGGAGTTGCAGGCGCAAAGGCACACAAGCCATGGGTGCAAAGAAATGGAAAGCGATCCAAGCAACAAGGTCCCATAGCTGGTTAGCAGCAGAATGAGGAGAGTTCTGTTCTCCCGACCATGTAGCCAGTGCTCTGTCCCCATAGTCCACTGATTGCTCTGGCTTCCTAAATATATGAGCTATATAACACACATTCCTGGTGGAGGAGACCTGATATAGACATCATAAATCAAGCCTTACTGGACAGGTCAGTTTAAGAGACCTCTGTTCATGGTTGAGGGAGGGTCAGAGAATCACCACGAGAATCGGACACGGCAATGTCAGAGTATGCGGAATTCAGAAGGTTTCCCAGAAGTGCCGCTGTCTCAGCTGATTTATTTCTTCATTTCCATTTAGTACCTGGACTTTTTTTTTTTTTTTTTGCCACTTTACAGTTTAATTAGGTTAACGGCATGGCTCTGTCATTAAAAGTATTTCATTATCTCAAAACTCTCCCTCTTCTTCCCTCTCCCTGTTCTTCACTTTCAGAAAAATAACAGTGGAAGTCAAACTGCCCCAAGCATGTAATTACCATTAAGACAATTACCAGGGACTCTCTTAAGAGAATATGCGTAGAGCAGCTAAAAAAAAAAAAAAAAAAAAAAAAAAAGAAAAGAAAAGAAAAAAAAAAGTAGTGTACAGCCACTGTTTTCTAACTGGAAAACAAAATCCTTGACCTAGCAAGGAGCAGCAGTTTGATTCCAGTGCTTTAAATCCCTTTTGTCATGGCTGCCACAGTGAGAATAGGATACCAAGGCTCCTTTGGGACTGAGACCCTACAGATCCCCTCCCCTCCTGCTCCAGGACCATCTTTCTTTGGCATCTATGAACAGATTAGGTTGACAATACAATGCCTGCTCAATGGACGTGCCAAATGCCCTACACCCTTGCCTTGATGCTGAATATATGTGTCTTAAACTTAAGGTGAGGACCTTGTCACCAGATTGTTCCATAGGGAGCCTGGCACACTGTGGACTCACTAATGAAGTATGAACACTATACAGCTTGAGCCTCTCTAAGTTAAAAGTTAAAAGCTCTCTCTCTTTCAGGACAATAAAAAAAAAATACCCTCTTCCTTCAGTTTTGGATGTCCTCCGAGGCGAAGACCTGATAGCCCCTTTCAGTTGCACGATCAGGACTTCAGAATTAGATCTTTAATGCAGATGATCTCATCTAATTTGGACATTAGCAGGGACTCAGAGTCTCTGAGGCAATTTCTTTGTTCATAACACAAAAGTTTTGAAATAAATAATCTTTCTATGAGGATTCCCTGAACCAGTTGAATATCAAATGTGTTTTGCTGGATGTCAAATGAAATTTACTTTTGAAATAAAAATTTAACCATTCACTCCTAAAGGCCAAATTGTACAGGGGCTTTTATTCATCAGAATAGGAGTGGAAATACTGGGAGAGCAAGAAAGTGATTTCCTTGAATCATGTATTATTTTTTTACTGTAGGAAATTGTAAGAAGAGACTGCTCACCTCAGAACTCCAGCAAGGCAAGTGTTTCTGAGGTTCCAGTAAACCTAATTTCTTGCTAATATCTTTCACAGAGGTCACTGTACAGTATTTCTAATCCTATCTACTTTTTGAAGGCTAAATTCCAGGCAGATGCCTTTTGAGTATCAATATGTTGTAAGAACTGATTTAATCTGACATTTCATCAATCAAACCTCTGTAACCAGTACTAGGGCATGAGATGAACTAAGAGTCGTAATGCTGACCCTCAGGCACCATCTGATCATGTCCTAAACCTTAAGTCATTAATGATGGCTGAAATCACAAGCTTCTTATGTGTAAGTTTTCACTTACATAGGCCAAGTGCTTAGATTCCCAGTTTTGCTTAGATGAGGTTGGAACCTGGTCACTTTGCTTGAAGGCATGTGACATTACCCAACCACAGGCAAAATAGTGAGTGCTGATAGTGCAGGCGCTGCCATACTCATGATAGTTATTGGAAAATAGATTATTTACTGAAGCAAATTTTCTGTATTGATTAAATGGATCTTTATTCAAAGAGCATGTCTTCTTGAACATTTATTTCAAAAGATGGGAAGAAATTTTGCTCTAGGCTTCAAAGTACTGACGTATAGTCTCATGTTCTTTTGGGGATATGCTGATGTTAAACTGAAGCTTGTGATTCAACAGCACTCTCAAATCCTAAGAATATTATGAAGATTTAAAATGACAGCTTTCACAGGCATTTGGCACTTGAAAAAACAAGAAAGCTTGGGTGGAAGTTTCCAGAGTAATTTTGGCGTCAACCAATACCATAAAGGTCATCATCTTTGGGAGATTATCTTCTTTGAGGATAATGACAAATCTTCAACAAACAATGAAAAGCTACTTTAACCACCACTGCCATTCAACATATATAAATTTATAGTGAGAGTTATGTTTTAAAAAGCATGCGACCTTAAAAATTAACATTGCTTCAGGAATTTTTACATTTTACCTGTGTAATAATAGAGTTTACAATTATCCACAGTAATTTCAAATACTATTACTGACATTACTAACTTTTCCATCTATAGAAACATTGCAGTTTTTGATTACTTATGATAAGAATTAATGGGCATTTATAAAAGGTTTTGTCTGTGAGCTAAAGTTTTGGAACCAGTTATGTTCATATAGTGAAGAATGAGTATATCTCGTATTTTATTTTGTTCTAAGTTCTTTAAAAATAGGTACTCTGTAGAAAATATGTGGTTCAGGATATACATGGCATATGACAGAGGTCAGCCACCTATGGAATATGGGGCCATTTTTATTGGCACTTGGGTACTTGCCACATAATTTTCTACATCATATCCTTGGAGAAATTATTTCACTAGAAATTAAGCTCCATGATAACAGGGATCTTTGTTTAATTTGTTTAGTGCTTTATCCCCAGCCTCTAGAACAATGCCTGGCACATCGAAGGGGCTCCACAGATATCAGTTGAAAGAATGAATATCCTTCTAGAAAATGCATACCAGATCCTTGATCCCTGCAGAACTCACAGCAAATCCTGTACAGGTCCTTCTAGTAATCCAGCAGGAAAGGAGCTGAAACTCCTCTTTTAGAAGATGCTCACCTCTTGATAGGAGGTCTGTTAAAAAGCATATGTCATATGGGACAACCCTACACTAACCAAAACATACCCCTCAATTCCTTTCTGGAACAAGTTAGGGAATACATAAACACTGTTTGACCAAAATATTAGACTAATCAGAACACTCCACTTCCATATCATTCCGGATAAAGAGAGAATGTTGGCAACAATAGTTAATATTTTTAAGTGATTTCTCTGTGCCAAGCACTAGTGTTTAACATGCTTCAGTATTTTACTGAATCCTCATAGCAAGCCTTTGAAATAGGTGCTCATTATTCCTATTTTTTAAGTAAAGCAAAGGAAGCTCTGAGAGGGTGTGCAACATGCTCAATATCAAACTGCAGTTACATATGGATTCAGACCCACCTAGTTCAAGTGTGGGCTCTTAAATCCTGTGCCCTGCTGCCCACCTCTGTCTGTGATATTTTTGGATGCTTATTACTGAAATTTTGAATCATGAACCTTGAAAAGAAGTCCCTTGTAACAAAGATTCAACTCTGTGTTTGTAGAGGAGTTAGCCTTACCTCATTTTTCATTTCCTTGGCACCTCTCATTTCTCCTTTGAGCTTTAGCATTTTCTGAGCTTCGTTATAAACCTGGAAAAGCATAAAAATTTAAGATGGAAAAAGTATAAATGAGATCAGCCCTTTAAAGGCTTTCCCATCTGGATGTGTGTTCTCAGCAGGGAGTTCAGAAAATTTTCCCAACTGTTAGCAATACTTACTTGCCTACCCATCTGTTTGTGTTTCCAAAAGTGTTAAAACCTTCACCAGGAAGACGACCATGGTTTTACATTCCCGCCCCTGACCAACGAAAAAACCCCACCATTAAATAGTTTCTAAAGTCATCCTTCTTGGAAAGCAAAAGGTCTGGGATGATGTTACTTTCTAGATTTCTAAGTATTCCATGGCTCGAACATAGTTAGCATTATGCACTAATTATGAACTAGGCGGAATGTGCACAGTCCAGCTTTATTCTCGTGATAACTCTGGGAGGTAGATACTACTACTATTTCTATTTTATGGAGGGGGAAATTGAAGCCCAGAGAGGCTAAGTGACTTACCCAAGGTCACACAAGCTCCCTTACTACTCCACAAGGAGCTTCCACTAATTTATAACTATTAATCTGGAAATACCTGATGAATGATTTAAGCATCAAGTTACCGTAACATTGATGCTTGTAAGATTAGGAAACATAATGTGTTGCGAATATCTAGATAAAAAGTCTCAAAGCCAAAGATTTTTGTACCTGTATATGTGTAAGTACAGGATGATGCATTTGAGGTCATAATGCATTGAGCTTAATAAAATAATCTAATTCATTGTATTTTTAACTCTAAGACTAGAGGAAATTTCTACCAGGCACTTACCTGCAGAATAGTTCCAAGAATGAGAAGCTATCAAAATACTCATTCTTTGTAATGAACCGCATCCCCCACCCCTAATATAAGCCATGAGGAAGAAAGAATGCTGGTGAGACACAGAATTTGGAATGTTGTATGGGGTTGTGTTCTGATGTGCTGCATTGTTTATCCTCTTACATCTTCATGCACAGAGATGCATCATGGCAATGGTGATGTAGCTCAGGCTTACCCAGCAGGGAAAGGCTAGTGATGCTACAAATCAGTGGCTTAAAACCATGAAGGTTTATTTTTCACTCATGCTACATGTCCTTTATGAGTCAGCTGGTGCTCTGCTCTTCATTGTCCTCAGCTAGTAGAACCTTTATCATTTAGTATGTTGCCTGTTGCCATGGAATCAGAAAGGGAACTTGGTGAATAACATACAGGTTCTTAAAGTGGAAGAGACATTTCACTTCTGCTCCCATTTCACTGGCCAAAACAAGTCACATGGACATGTCTAACTTCTTTCTTTATTCCCCAAAGGAACTATTGGCAAACATCACAAATAACTTCCATGCTAGGTATCTTAGCTGGTTGGGTTGCTATAACAAAATATCACAGACTGGGCAGCTTAAAAACAACAGAAGTTTTTTTCCCCTCATAGTTCTGGAGGCTGAAAAGTCCAAGATCAAGCTGCTCGTAAAACTGGTGTCTCGTGAAGATCCACTTCTGTAATGGCTGTTTTTTGTGTTTTTCCCCCCGCTGTAACTTCACATGGCGGTATGTACAAGGGAGCTCTGTGAGGTCTGTTTTATAAGGGCATTGATTTCATTCATGAGGTATCCACCCTCATGATCTAATCACTTCCCACAGGCCTCAAGTGCTAATACCATCACCTTGGGGTTAAGATGTCAATGCATGAATTTTGGGGGGACACAAATATTTAATCTATAGCACTAGGCAATAAGACTAAAAATAGTGTGGCATAAAAGACCACTAAACAGGGCTCTAGGCCACCAAGCTTCTAAACCTGGTTTAGCACGTAATTCAAAATGTAGTTTTTGGAAAGGTATTGATCTCTTTGAGCCTTTGCCTCTGCTTCTGCCAGCTGGAGGACTGTAGTAAATGACCATTAAGTCTTTCCTAGCCCTAAGGTTTACTGATTCAGTGTTCTACCTTGACAGACATCTTTCTTACTAAAGAACCATGAACTCAGCTCAAGCACCACATAAAATTGAAATAAAACAAATATATCCTTGGGGTGTGATGCTGGGCTGTAGAGTCTGACAACCAGGGTTGAAGTCCTGGCCCCATTTCTTTGATGGAATGTAAGTTTGGCCATGCTTGTTGTCCTCTCTGAATACCACCTGCTCGTCTGTAAAATGGGGTGGGGGTGATAATCATACCCATATCATAGGCAGACCTACTGGATAGTCAGGAGAGGCTTCTTAGATCAAATTCAGTCTTGTCTCAAAGTCAGAAAATGATTGTCCAGATTGTGACTGTTTCATATACTGTGGAGTTACGCAGTGATAGTTGCAAGGGCCCAAGAGCATTTGGAAGGAAAAGTGGAAGGCACAGGCTCTCATATTTGCATGGAAATATACTGGATTCACTAAGTAAAATTAAGTCAGAAGGGAAAGAAAGCTGAATTGTGTTCCATGAAAGAGACATAGGAATCCTGTGAGTCATTAAGAACAGCAGTGGACAATTTGGAAGTGCTTATGATGAAAAAAATGGAAGGGTTATATGATAAATTTTTGAAGCATTTGACAGTAATGTTTGCCAGATGGATAGGGAAGAGTGCTTTGAGGGGGCCTCAAAAGCTTTATAAAATGATCATGTGAACCTTCGCAGAGCTCTCTGAGGAGTGTGGCTGGACAAATATTTTGTAGAGAAGAGAACTCATCACAGAGGGAGGGGCTCTCTACCTGATCTGTGGATACTGATCTCTGGGCCCAGGACTTTAATGTCTTTTTTCTCCTCAAACGCTCAGTCTATTCAATATGTCTCCTGGGCTAATGTCTCCTGCATCTTTGTTGAGAACTTAACTTCCTCATGCCTCCTTTCTCCATCAGCACCTCTGATTTTGCTGCATCTGCCCAGGGATTTTGCTTTCTTGCATTCAAAAGTTTTGCTGCTTTTCCAGTGGGCCTTCCCTTGATGACAGCTATGTCTAGTAAAAAGTATTTAGTGAAAACAAAACCTTGGCCAGAGCAACTAGTAACGTTTTGTGCCTCCTGGGTTGACCTCAATCCACACTCAGAGCACTTTACAACTTCCCCGGGAACACTAGTACTACACCTCACATGACTGTATCAGGTATGAACTCAGATGTGCAAAGAAGAGCTATTTTTCTATTGCTCTTTATTGAGCCCCATTTCCACCAAATGGCAGAAAACAGAATCTTAGTTATTTCAGAGAAAGCTCCATCATTTTTAGGTTAAAAATGAATCAGTTCATGATCCCCTTCACCTCTTTAAGGTTTTCTAGAGTGTAAGTCTTGGGGTCCTAGGTTGGATCTTGGCATTAGGAGTGACTCTGGTCCATGGTTATGGGGATCTCCCCCAAAAGTACATATAAAAATGCATTTTATAAAGCATTTGAAGTGTGCTAAGAGCCTGTATCCTGGTCAACAGGCCACAAATACTGCATTTTCCTCATACTGTCTTTTATCCTCTGTGGATGCTCCTAATGCACAGAGAGAGACACACACATACCTGTGAGATTAGTCTCAGGCCCTGTCTTCCTAGACCTTTCCTAGCATCATTCTATGTTTTACCTGGAAAGGTGTTGAGAAGAAGGGGATAGAATCCTAAGACTTTGCTCACTTTCCTGCTCCCCATTCATGGTATTGATCAAAAGTCCCTACTGCCTCTAAATTGCTAAATCTGTCTGAGGTTCTATTGTGTTCCCCACTTTCACCCACGTCTTTGATCTCAGGGTCTAATTCTCTCGCTTATACTCAAATTCTTCTTTGCTTCCTCTTTCTTAACTTAGAGAGTCTTTGTTTAGTTTTGGGGAGAGAAAGAAATAAAGGGTACAAGTGAACAAGTTCAATGAAACACAGGTTGAGCAGGCAGGATGGGAAACACATGTTAGTACTTCATGCACCATCAACCCACATTAGATTACACAAAAGCCATAATCATAGATTGCTGCCACTGGCTCACTCCCCAAGGAACTGGTAACTGCCTGGGTATACAGATGGACTACTGGTCTTAGAGCAACACTGTCTATTCCTTTTCCTTCATGACCTGGATGGAAGAATATCAAGGGTCTATTCCTCTCATTTAAAACATTTTTTTCTAGGTTTTCGTGGAAAGAGATACTATTCAGTTTAAAGTTAAGGCTATCCTTGGGGTTAATCAAAACTAACAAACAGGTTTACCTACACTCAATCATAAGTCTTTCCTTTGCTCTCACTGAGTTTTAGATTTTTCTCCAATGTTCTACTTCCTACCAATGAAAAAAATGAATCCTAAGTCTCTTAATTATTGAAATGATGAAAGGATATTCAATGTTTCCCCTATTGAAAAAAAAATGTGAGCACCATGAATGAATAGGAATGCTTCTTCTTCAATAAATTATTTCTACCCAGAACAAATGGATGGAGCCATAGTGTATAGAAGACTGGCATGAAGAGAGTCTATCTCTTTGAACCCAAACCCAGTTCTACAAGAGAAAAATCCCTGGTTATATAGGGCATACCTACCAGGGGAAGATGGTAGGAGGAGATGATGCTGGAGATAGTTTTTCCAGAATCTGGGGATTCAATTCCTGGTTAGGGCACATATCTAGGTTGTGGGCTCAATCACTGGTCCAGGTGTGAACAGTCCTTGGTTTGGGCACATATAGGATGTAACCAGTTGATGCTTTTCTCTCACATTGATGTATCTCTCTCTCCCTTTCTCTCTCTAAAAGCAATGATAACATGTCCTCGGGTGAGGATAAACAAACAAACAAACAAACAAAACCCCAAGGGTCCAGGAGGAACAAGAGAAGGAGTTCCAGCATTTATCAGACTCACTGTCACAGGTGAAACTCTTTCTTCGTGGCCACCTCCTTTGGTACTTCAGAGGTTTTCAGTTGCCTATTTCCATATCCATAATTTTTTAAAAAAATTTTATTTCTTTTTCATATCCTTAATTTTATCTTCCTTAGTAAGAAAACCCTAATTTCATTGTGGTGCCTATGTACTCATCCAA